TACAAAACAGAAAATGGCAAGAACTTTCTTTACAAATCAAAAAATGGCAAGAACTTTCTTTACAAACTTTACAAACTCATCACAAATTTGGATCAATCGTATAACATGTCACCTGTAGGCTGCGAAACATAAGTGTCATTATTTTACATAAACTGGCAAGAACTTTATTTACAAAACAAAAAATGGCAAGAACTTTCTTTATAAGACATAAAATGGGAAGAACTTTCTTTATAAGACATAAAATGGGAAGAACTTTCTTTACAAAGCATAAAAAGGCAAGAACGTTCTTTACAAAATCTGAAATGGCAAGAACTTTCTTTACAAAACAGAAAATTGCAAAAACTTTGTTTACAAACCAAAATTTCATTAAAATTTTGCCATTCCTAGAAAAGTATTAAAATTAAGAAAGTACGAGTATGGAATGGAATACTTTTTATTGTTTTTTATTTGTTCAGTTTTTTACTTTCAAATCCGGATCTCAAATTTCCGTTTTGAGTAAGCAAAAAAGCCAAAAAAAAATGGGAAAAGGAGGGTTCAAACTAGACTAAAAAAAGAGATTTTTGGTCTGTAAACAAAGTTTTTGCCCTTTTTTAGTATGTAAAGAAATTTTTGGCCATTTTTTTGTTTTCTAAAGAAAGTTCTTGCCATTTTTTGTCTCGTAAAGAAAGTTCTTGCCATTTTGTATTCTGTAAAGAAAGTTTTTGCCATGTTTCGTTTTTTAAAGAAAGTTCTTGCTATTTTTCGTTTTGTAAAGAAAGTTCTTGCCATTTCAGATTTTGTAAAGAACGTTCTTGCCTTTTTATGCTTTGTAAAGAAAGTTCTTCCCATTTTATGTCTTATAAAGAAAGTTTTTGCTATTTTTTGTTTTTTAAGGAAAGTTATTGCCTTTTTTTTGCTTTGTAAAGAAAGTTTTTCCAATATATTTCAAACGAACGTATTTTACAAAAGAAAAAGAGCACGAGAGAGAGAAAACGTCACAATAAGAGAGCGCAGACAGCGAAAGAAAAGCAAGCCAAAAATCACTTTCTTGGGAACCCAGTCAAAAAGGAACTGTACAACGAGTCATTAAGCCTGCTTTGGTCTGAATATTCCAAACAACTTGGTATGAGGCCAAAGATTTGGCGATCGTCTGCCTATCCTCGTCATATATTATGCAGCCAGGTCAGAGGCAGCTGAGACAAGGACTGGCTGAATTTTTGGGACGGCTTCCAGGCCTGCCTGGAATCTGATAAAAAAAGGTATTTTTCCACTTTTTGCTTTGTAAAGAAAGTTCTTGCCATTTTTGTTCTGTAAAGAAAGTTTTTGTCATTTTTAACTTTGTAAAGAAAGTTCTTGCCATTTTTTGTTTTGTAAAGAAATTTCTTGGCATTTTTTTATCATTCTTAACCCCATTCTCTAAGCCTAAACCATTATAAGACACATTTTCTAAGCCTAATCAATTAAAAATCCCATTCTATAAGCCTAAAAAATTAAAAATTCTATTTCGTAGGCCTAACCGATTAAAAATACCTTTCTATAAGCCTACCCAATTAAAAATCCAATTCTGTAGGCCTAATCAACTAAAACTTCTATTTTGTAAGCCTAATCGATTATAAATCCCATTCAATAAGCCTAATTTCAATTCCCTAAGCCTAATCAACTACAAATCCCATTCTGTAAGCCTATTTTTATTCTCTAAGCCTAACTGATTAGAAATATTATTTTATAAGCCTAATCAATTACAAACTCCGCGCTCTAAGCCTAATCATTGCGATTGCGCATTAACGCGGAAAAGGCCTTTAAACTTGGCTTCGAAAAAACGGCCGGAACCGTCCATCAAAAAACAAAAAAAGTGCTAATGAAAAGAAAAACAAACTCCAGAATTTGCCAGTTCTTTCGCTTTTTCGGCTTCAAAAAAGGCAAATTTGGAGCCCTGTTTCAAGGTTAAATTGAGGTGGAAAACGTTTAAATTTGTATAAAATGACAAGGACTTTGTTTACAAAGCTCGTAAAAGAAAAAACTTTCTTTACAAAACAAAAAAGTCAGTGGGGAACTGTTTTATCGTATAACTTGACACGCGCAGGCTGCAATAAACTGATTTTTGGATTTCGATTGAAAAATGGAAATAACTTTCTTTACAAGGTAAAAAATAGCAATAACTTTGTCTACAAAACAAAAAATGGCAAAAACTTTATTTACAAAACAAAAAATGGCAAGATTTCCTTACAAAACAGAAAATGGCAAGAACTTTCTTTACAAAACAAAAAATGGCAAGAAATTTATTTGCAAAACTTAAAAAATAAACAATCTTTTTCATCGTATAACTTGTCACCCGCAGCCTGCAAACTCAAATTGTCCGTTTTTCACAAAAAAATTGAAAAAAAAGATTTAAATTTAAAAAAATGAAAAAAATTGTTGAAGAAAACGTAAAAACTGCTTCATAATTACTCAAAAACACGAAAAGGAATCATAAACTGGGAAAAACGGCCAAATAAACGCAAATAATTTATTGTTTTTGCCGTCTCAAGGTTCATTTAGGTAACAACCAGAAGGTTTCTTTATGACATCATAAATTCAAGGCCGTTCTGTAACTACCCTACCCTACCCTACCCTACCATACCCTACCCTACCCTTTGCTACCCTCACGTACTCTCATCTACCCTATCCTACACTTTCTCTACCCTGTGCTTACCCAATACTACACCTTTCCTCTTCTACACCTACACTATATTACAATTACCCTGCTTTATCGTTTTGTACTTTACCTTATCTTCTCCTACCCTACCCTACTGTGCCTTACCTCTAAGTAAACCTTATCTTACTCACTGGTCTAATAGCCTTACCACTAGCCTAATCAAAAAGTAAAAAGAAAAGATATCTATTCTACACTTACTTTATTCTACACCTACCACATCCTACACCTAGCCTTTCCTACCCCTGCCCTATTCTACACCTACCCTATTGTACACCTAGATTATTTTACACCTACCCTCTTCTACATCTACTCAATCCTACACTTACCCTATCTTACACCTACCCTACCCTACACTATACCCTTTCTTACACCTACCCTATCTTGCCCTACTCATTTCAAAAATTACAAAAAAAACATTTTGTTACCTAAAATTTCAATTCACACCCAAAGAACAATAAAAAGCCGAAAAATTTGAAAACAAAAACAATGCCATTTCGTATGTTATGCCGACCTAAAAATAGTAAAAATCAAAAAAAATGTCACAAAATTGGAGTGGAAAATTCGAAAATGGAGGGAAAAAGGGACGGTGGGCTGTCCCAGCGTTCCGTTCCTAAGTGACTGCGAAAAAAAGCGACGCCGACTTTTTTTTTTACTTTCCTTGTTCTACTTACATATTCTTCGACAGTTTCGGCATGAATATGGCTTCGGAGTAATGCCATTTTCAACGTCATATACGAGGGAAAACATACGTAGTAAATTTGGTTGATAAGAGGGTTGTAATGACAAGAACTTTGTTTACAAAACAAAAAAAAAGTCTTTAGAAAACAAGAAATTGCAAAAACTTTCTTTACAAATTAAAAAATGGCAAGAACTTTCTTTACAAAACCAAAAATGACAAAGACTTTGTTTACAAAACACAAAATAGCAAGAACTTTCTTTACAATACAAGAAATTGCAAAAACTTTCTTTACAAAACACAAAATGGCAACAACTTTGTTTACAAAACAAAAAATAGCAAAAACTTTATTTACAAAACGTATCCATCGTATAACTTGACACCCGCAAGCTGCGCAGCTAAATATGTTCTGTTTTTGAGCAAATAATGTCTAGAACCGACTTTCTAACCTATAAAATAGCAAGAACTTTCTTTACAAACTAAAGAATAACAAGAACTTTCTTTACAAACCAAAAAATGGCAAAAACTTCCTTTACAAAACGAAAAGTTGCAAGAACTTTCTTTACAAGTCAAAAAAAAGGCAAGAACTTTGTTTACAAATCAATAAATAACAAAAACTTTTTTTACAAAACAAAAAATAGCAAGAAGTTTCTTTACAAAACCAAAACGGCAAAAACTTTCTTTTCAAATTAAAAAATTGCAAGAACTTTCTTTCCACACCCATCCCATTAAAGTTGTCTTTGTTCCGTGAACAAAGAATAAAATTTACATTACCTTTTAACCCATTAAATCGTCCATCGTATGTTGCGTAGAGATCCCATTCAGTCCTTTCAGAAACATGAAAACGCTTTCAAATCGCTATGTATTTTCATTCAAAAAACATCATTATATCGTAAAGTCTATCATAGAAACAAATTTGAATTGAGATTTTGAATTTTTAGGTTTTATACTAATTAGTAATCAAATATTAGGTGCCGACATAAAGAACCCGCCACACTTTTCCTGTATTTTAATGTAAGAAATGGCGGGTTCTTTATGTCTGCACCTAATACATTATCTTACAATTAGTCGTGTGGAAAGGTTGGTGATGAGGATAGAGTAATTTTAGTCTAGAAGGAGCAATTTGTGTATAGGAAGGTTAAGTTTGTCTTGGCTACAACAGTCTTAACGTTCTGCCCTGCCTACAACAATATAACACTTATGTTATACTAGCTTACACCTCGATTAAAATCGATGACAAGTAAAAAGTACAAATTCAAAATTTATTAAATTAATCAAAAATTGTTATTATAACAAAGAGACAACATAAAAAACGTATTTTTTATTGAAATTAGATATTTAAAAGGCACATAAAGACATGAGGTAACAGTATTACGTTATATAGGCCATTTACGACGACTTTTAAGCCTAAAACCAAAGAAAAAACAAAAATTCACACTTTGAAAAGAATAAAAAGATCAAAACTAGTACTTTGAGATCAAATAAAACCCTTGAAACACAATGCCAAAGTTGGCGGGAATTTGAAAATTCAAAATGGTAACATGGTTAATTTCAAAAAACTTTGTCAAAATGCCATGTTCAATTCGTTTAAACAATATTTCAATCAATTTTTGTCAAAATCTATTCAATCACTTGTGTTACAGATCTATGTTATGGTATAGCACCATAACATAGATCTGTCTCCTCGACCAACGTTTGTTCCGACGGTGATTCCGGTAGAAGTTCTTCTGATTCATTTGGATTCACTCCAAACCGGCTCCAAATTAGTTTTATCACGTAGAAGATGAACAGTAGACATGTTAGGGATAGTACCACACTCAAGCCAAACATACGCCAGGAACTTAGTTGTGGGCCTGTACGGTCCTGAAAGGGTACTGTAATTTTGAAGAAATATTTTTTTAATATTCAAACCTTAAAAACTTTTAAAAAAACCAAAATTTTGAACTTTAAAATTATCGACCGGTCGATAAATTTTAAACCAAAAAATTTATACTTACCCCTCTGATCTGTGTGTACAACATACGATGTGGGCTTGTAGCCAAATCACCCCCTGTCAGTAAGAAATCAGCATCGCGATCAATGCCATATTCAAATTCAGGTTGAGCTGGCAATACCCGATTGATCGGAAATCTACGGCCAAGGTGCCACATACTGAAACGGGAAAAAGGTGAAAGTAAAATTTTTAAATCTTGATTTGAAAGAAAAAAAACGTTTAAAACACCCTACCCTACCCTACCCTACCCTACGCTACCCTATCCTGTCCTGTCTTGCCTTGCCCTATCTTATCTTGCCCTATTTTACCATGCTTTCTTCTACCTTACACTACCCTGCCCGCAGTCATACCTTATTTATAATTTGCCCTACTCTACTCCTGCCGTACCCGGCCTTACCCAGCCTAGCCCTATAGTACGCTTTTCATTTATATATGCAATCTTGTTTTGACAGCATATACTATAAAAAAGAAAACCTCCATACCGGCACATGTAAAACAACATAAAAATGACTCTACGTCCAGACTTAAGAAATGGTGTAACAACTACAATTGTTGTAATAGTGTAGAAATATACAAAACCATTAGATACGAATAGACCTTTGCGTGTAAAAACGCAATTCTACTAGAACAACACGTTATAGTACGGTTTAAGAAAATACAGTAATATTGCACACCATTTTTATTTACCTATGTCTACTTACTATTTAAAAAAATGATCTTAGACCTAAAAAAACAATTTTTTTTAAATTTTAATACAAGCCTAAACCGTAAAGTTAAGCCTAATCTTAAGCATATGCCTAAGCCTAAGCCTAAGCCTAAGCCTAAGCCTAAGCCTAATCCTAAGCCTAAGCCTAAGCCTAAGCCTAAGCCTAAGCCTAAGCCTAAATCTAAGCCTAAGCTTAAGCCTAAAACCAAACCTTAAGCCAAAGCCTAAGCCAAAACAAAGTTAAACTAAACAAACATAAGCCTAAAAGCCACAAAACTTCTCAACATACCAAAAATTAAACCTAAAACCATAAAAATCAATAATAAAAACCTAAAGTACTCAAAATGCCATAAATTAACATTTAAGACAAAAAACTGTAACGAGTGTAGTAAATAGTAAACATAGATCCAAAACCAGCACCCATTTACCAAACTGAAGAGATAAATCTGCGCTGAACGGCTATAATAAAACTTGTCACAATTGCCCCCTAAGGCGTTTTTTTCCAAATTTTTTTGAAGAAAATGTAGTCCGGCTTGTTAAAGTGCATTTATTATTAGACTTGTAAAGGAGGCAGGCTAGGCCTAATTGTTCGACTTGGTCCACAAGTGAAGCCTTTGTAGTTTAAAATCAGCACTATCCAGCCCCGTCTAGACCTTTTTAAACTTGTTTCTAAGCCAAGCCGGGGCTACCCTACCGTGCTCTCTTTCAGGTCTAGAGAGGATATATTAAGATAACTTAGGATAGAGTAGGCTAGAATAGAGGGTAGGGTAGGGTAGGGTAGGGCTGCTCATAACACTATTTTTCATAGTTTACTAAGCTTAACTCCAAGCCTATCAAACCTAAGTTAAACATTAAGTCCGGAAAACCCACCCTCATAAGCGGACAAAGCCTAATACTACATATAGTACTAAACCCTATAATCCTGAAATTCCAAAAAATTTAAAAAAAAAGAGTAAAAACCAAACATGACAAAACAAAAAAACTCATCACGAATTTCTCCTTCTAATTTTTGACCCGAAAAACTGCGTTTGGCTTCAGATTTATTTCGGCTTCACTTGAGTTGTACCATTCTCCCCTGGGGCAACAACCAAAAACAACTTTCAACGCCATAAAGCTCGACGTTTAAACACGAAAGAACTTATCAGACAGGGTTGTATGAACATTACTATCTGATTAGTTTACAAACTAATACGGTTTACTAAACATATAAGCCCATAGTACGCATATGCTAAGATTGAGTTACGCAAAACATTAAGGTTCAGCTTACTAAGCCTAAGCAAAGCCTAAGCTAAGCCTGAGCTAAGCTTCAGCTAAGCCTAAGCTAAGCCTAAGCTAAGCCTAAGCTAAGCCTGAGCTAAGCTTCAGCTAAGCCTAAGCTAAGCCTAAGCCTAAGCTAAGCCTAAGCTAAGCCTAAGCTAAGCCTAAGCTAAGCCTAAGCTAAGCCTAAGCTAAGCCTAAGCTAAGCCTAAGCTAAGCCTACTAAGCCTAAGCCTACAAAGCCTAAGCCTACTAAGCCTAAGCCTACAAAGCCTAAGCCTACTAAGCCTATGCCTGATAAGCCTAAGCCTACTAAGCGTAAGCTTACTTAGCCTAAGCCTAAGCCTAAGCCTAAGCCTAATAAGCCTCAAATTACCAAAATTTTCACTGAAATAAATGTAAAATACGATGTGGGGTATATCGATTCAAAACAATTCAAGTAAACCAATAAAAAGGCATTTTTAAGCCTAAAATTCAGTCAAAAAGTTCTGACCTTATTTCCTGCGAACCTTTTGAAAGCGTTCGAAAGTTGTCAAATGCGTGGTTTCTTAACCCAATTTATGCTTTTGGGTTTATTGTTCTTGAGTGCCGGAACACGAAACGACAAAAATGTTAAACAAAAACGTTTCAAACCAACTCCCAACTTGACTCTTTATGCTAAGAACAAAGACTTTTTAAATTTTAAAACAATCACTGTTTTGGCAAGAGGATTTGAGACCCTATACTCCATTTTGACCTTTCTGCAAAATTAGATTTTAAGGTTATAATAGGGAGTATTTAGGCTTAATAATGTGGTTTTAGGCTTAGAAATGTAATTTAAACCTGCTTCTAGGCTTAAAATTGCGGCTTTTGACTTAAAAATGTAATTTTAGGCTTAAAAGTCTGATTTTAGGCTTAGAAATGTGATTTTAAGCTAAATATCCATCCTAAAGAAAATAGAAATTTTAGGCTTGTTATTCGATTTTTAAGCTTAGAAACATGATTTTAAACATAATAGACTTTGTAAAAGTACCAGTGAGTTGTAGGCTTAAAATAGTAATTTTTTAGGCTTAGCGATAATATTTTAAGGTCATGAGGTTAAGACTTAGCCTAAAAACGAGATGAAAACTAAGCCTAAGTCAAAGCTTAACATTGAGTCTAAACGTAAGCTTAAGGTTAAGACAAAGCCTAAGCCTACCCTAAGCCTAAGCCTAAGCCTAAACCTAAACCTAAGCATAAGCCTAAACCTAGACCTAAGCCTAACCTTGTGCCTAAACTTAAGCCTAAGCCTAACCTTATGCCCAAGCTTAAGCCTAAGCCTAACTTTATGCCTAATCTTAAGCCTAAGTTCAAAAACAACGTCCTAAAGCCTAAAAGTGCATCCGATATTAAAAAAGTTATTTATGCTTTTTGCACAAAAATGTCTCAAATTTTAAATTTTAAAAATAAAGTATTCTTTTGTACTCATGTCCAAAGAACAAACATAAAAGAAGACTTCTAACAGGCACTCACTATAACCAAGACATATTCCGCCTACAACTAATTTTTAAACCAATCGATCAAACAAAAGCTTATTTTAGCTATTTAAAAGGGCCAATGAAATGGCTAGGCCTAGCTAGGGGTGGTAAAGGGAAAGGTTTTGTTGTTGCTGGGGGGGGAGGTAGGAGGGAGGGGGATTCGTGAAAAGGGGAGGAGAGGGGTTGAATGAGGGGGGGGAGGGGGGAAGGGGGAATGATTAAAACAGACGAAAAAATTTTTTTAGACAATTTAAAGTGGTCCCACTTTGGTTTAGGGAAAAAAATTATTTACCCACCCTACCTTGCCCTCAGGATAACATTATCTACCCCATATTGAACCCATTTTAACGAAAAAAAAATTTTTTTTGAAAAAAAAGTTAGATGTTATACCTTTAATTTTTAAAAAAAATTATTTACCCTACTCTACCCCTCAGGATAAGGTTATCTACCCCATAGTAAACCCGTTTTAACAAAAAAAAACATTTAAATTGAAAAAATGGTCTTTAAACCGGCTGACTTTAAGAATAAGGTCAAAACAGTAACATTTTCATGCCTTTTGATTATTCATAACCCCTTTTTGGGGTTTCTAGGACACAAATATTCGTGCATTTGTATAAAAAACCAAAAAGCTAGGACTTTAAACCAGATTTCTGTTATGCCGTGTTGGCACATTAAGTCGTAATGTTAGGGGTTTAAAAGGTTTAAATTAATATTTTTTTGTAAAATACGCACTACCTATCCAAAAATTTATACAAATGAGAAGGTAGGGTAGATTGGAGAAGTCAGAGTAAAGTAGGCCGGAGGAAGACATGTCAGGCAGGGATAGAATAATTAGAACTAGGTTTCAAGCTATAGTTTGAGCTAAGGCTAGTGCCAGGGCTATGGCTCTGGCTATGGCTAAAACCAAAGCTAGGGCTAGGGCTGAGGCTAGAATTAAAGCTAGGGCTCTGACTATAGTTATGTTTAGGGCCGGGCGCTGCAAGTCCCCGCCCGGCACTGGTTATGTCCATGGCTATGGCTGGGCTATGATTATGACTAGGGCTTGGGCTACAGCTATGCATGTAACTATAGCTAAGAGTACGGCTGGAGCTAGAGAAAAGGCTAGAGTTAGGGATAGAGAGCCAGGGCTACATTTAGGGAAGTGGCTATCGTCATGGCTCTGAGCTAGGGCTCTAAGCTAAGGCTCTGGACTAGGGCTTTGTGCTAGGGCTCTAAGCTAAGGCTCTGAACTAGGACTCTGTGCTAGGGCTCTGGGCTAAAGCTCTGGACTATGGTTCTGGGCTAGGTTTCTGGGCTAGGGCTCTGGGATAGGGCTATGGCTAGCTCTATGAACTTTTTGACCAATCATTTAAAATTTTTGAGTTATAATGTCGAAGTAAATGTAAGATGACGCATTTTTATAAATTCAAAACAAACTACTGACAATAGTCAAGCACAACTGTTATGATTCATATGCGATATTAATCATTACAAGTTTTGAATAGATGTTTTTAAAAAGCAAGCCAAATTTTAATTCTACTCTTAACTTTTTTCATTTCAAATACCATTTCAAATACCAAGGCTTAGGTTTTATTCGAAAAAATGGATTTGTTACCTAAATTTCAAAAAAAAAATGATTTTGATACCTAAATTTAATTTTTTTTTGCTTTAAAGCTTTTAAAAAACAAGAATTTTCCTTAAAATTTTTATCTTTATGCAAATTTAAAATCAAAAACTTTTTATCCTTACCAAATTTCCATTTTCCGTTAGTTGTTACCTATTCTTTTGTACAAATTGGTTGATCCAAACCAAACTCCATTTTAGGCCATCGAGAGGTTCTCATAATGTCATGGTTTTATGATGAAGAACGAGAAAGGTAAGTCAACGTTTTTGATGTTGCTGCGGACGTGGTTTCTGCGGGCGCAACTCGGAAATTTGAAATTTTTGATTTTTTTCGTTTTCAAAGGGAAAATTGTTGTTTGATAGATAATATCGAGAGTTTTTTGGTGTTTTTAGATGATTTTGATCTGAATTTGTTCTGTAAATAATAGTTTAGATATTCTATTACCTTTTTGTAACGATTGTCTCAACTTTTACCCAATTTCAGGATAGCAGCGGACCCCACAAAGGCGTTGAACATAAAATATGTCCCATCAACACGGTTCTGGTTTGAAGAAGGACTTCCCCACTATCAAATTATCCAGTTATTTGTGGCTTATTGGCACTACACCATACTCATCTCTTTTTTGTACATTTTAACCGTTTTTGGAATCCAAAAAAGCATGGCAAGAAGGAAACCGATGAACTTGAAGTGGTCGTTGTTCGCTTGGAATGGTTCACTCGCTGTTTTTAGCATTTTTGGGTAGGTGTTTTGATTTTTATGTTTTTGATGTTTAGGTTGAGGTATTTTGTGTATAAAGAAAAGAAAAAGATGCAGAAGGGCTGTGATATCTGTAATATTTTATATTATAGTAGGTGGGGATGGGGAAGTTGACGTTTTGGGTTTGTTTTGTTGGTTAAGGTGTTGTTTTTTGGTTTTTAGGTTTGAAATAATGCTGTGTAAGCTTATGAATGTTAAGTTTTGGTAATATCATCTAGAAGAATGTTTAAAATTTAGGTTTTTAGTAAATTTTCAATAAAATTTTTCGTTTTTAATCTAAAACATATTTTTTAATGTAAAAAACTTTACTGACAATAACTTCTTTTGCAGAGCAATTCGAACCTTGGAAGAGGTATTCAACACAGTGTATTACCATGGTTTATATAAAGGATTGTGTTATGGTTACGAGCCGAGTTCTATGGCAGCACATTGGTACCTATTCTTTGCGGTTTCCAAGTTTGTTGAGCTTGGAGATACGGTGTTTTTGGCATTGAGAAAGAAGCCATTGACATTTCTACATTGTTATCATCATTGTACAGTCATGGTCTACACATTTCACGCTGGATCAGAAGTTATGGGCATGGGACGGTGGTTCATGGGGATGAATTTCATCGCTCATAGGTCTGTTTGGGGGTAGATTTGATATTAGTAGTACTGCTTTTGTTATTTTTTGGTACTGGTGCAATTTTTGGGTGTAAGTGGTACTAGTAGTACTATTTTTTAAATGTTTAGCTATTTTTTATATTGTTCATGACAAAATGACATCTTTTCAGTTTCATGTACACCTACTATGCCATAATGAGTGTTGGAATAAGACTTCCGAGAGGGCTGGCTAAGTTTGTCACCCTAGTACAACTTCTTCAGATGTTTGTCGGCTTAGCTGTGTCATTGTCGGCTAACGTCGTCAAACATGTTTTGTGAGTTTTTTCTATTGATTTTTTAATTTTAGGTAACATTTTTTGAATTTTAAGCTAATTGTTACCTAAATATTTGCCTTTCAAAAAATTTATTTTAGGTAACAATTTTTGGATTTTTAGGTAATACTTTGGCTAAAAATAGTTAATTAGGTATCAAAAAGTTTTTTATTGGCTATTTTTATTGATAATAATGCAATTCCAGACACATGCCCTGCCAACAATCTCTACAGAACCTGTACCTGTCATATGCCATCTATGCCTCATACGCTGTACTGTTTCTCCAATTCTTCTACCAAAGATATTCTAATAAATCTAAAAGGGAATAAACAAAGTGTTGTCATCGTGATATAATTTGAATTTTACAAAAATTGTTGAATTTTAAAAATATTTTGAAGTTTGAAAGTTTTGTTATAACGGATATGTTTTATCGTATAACTTGGCACTCGCAGGCTGCAAAGTACTGATTTTTAAATTTGATTGAAAAAATGGAAAGATCTTTCTTTACAAACTTTGAAATGACAAGAACTTTCTTTACAAACACAGAAATGGCAAGAACTTTCTTTACAAAACAAAAAATGATAAGAACTTTCTTTACAAACTTAAAAGAGCAAATTTTGAAAAAAATTTTTTACTCATTAAATTTTTTTGTCAAAACCACACTCGAAAATCATTAAGATGACATAACCACTTAAGGGGCCGGCTTCATTTACTCTTTTAACCGATCTTCCACATAATGACCAAAAAAGGGCAATTAGTGCGCGGCCATAAAAGTAACCGGAGCTCTGACCCAAAATTCTTGCAATTTGGCCTTTTCATTTTTCAAATGGTTTCGAACTGTAAAATCAAATTTTTGCTTTATTTGCAATAACTTTCTTTACAAAGCACAAAATGGCAAGAACTTTCTTTACAATGTTGAAAATTGCAAGAACTTTGTTTACAGGGCTTACAATGGCAAAAACTTTCTTTACAAAACCCAATTTGGCCATTATTTGCCTAAAAATGTAAAAAAAAGATCTGATTCGTCGTATAACTTGTCACTCGCAGGCTGCAGAACGGAAAACGTTAAAGTTTAAATATGAAAATGGAAAGAACTTTCTTTACAGTCTTAAAAATATGCTTTTCAACTTGAAGTTTTTTGTTTTGGCCTAATTTCGGACTGTTTACAGTTGGGAGTGGCCGTGAAGAATGCTTACGGCCAAGTGTCCTTTCAAGTAACGTAAATGATCGTTGTGTTGCGTTTGGAGGCCGGCTAATTGCACACTGTAATTATTCAGGGTCATTTTTAGTAGAAATCATTAATATTTGTGATTTGCGGTCTGCGGGTGACATTTTATACGATGAAAGGTGTTTTAGGAAAGTTCTTGCCATTTTTTTGTTCTGTAAAGGAAGTTCTTGCCTTTTTTTGTTTTGTAAAGAAAGTTCTTGCCATTTTATGTTTTGTAAAGAAAGTTTTTGCCATTTTATGTTTTGTAAAGGAAGTTCTTGCCATTTTTCGTTTTGTAAAGAAAGTTCTTGCTATTTTCAACCAACATTCATTTTTTTAAATTTCCTACCAGTAAATTATGTTAGATTATGCAAATTTGCTGCCATTGTTTACCCACCCCAAATAAAACGCAATTTTTGGTTTTATTTTGGCGCATCGGAAGGCTTCGATGACCGTTAAAGTACCTCGGCAAGAAATCGGATCGAATTTCCATCTTCGGAAATATTTACGCACCGACAAGCGGTCACTCGGAAATAGCAGCGGCTACCATGTGGCCTGGGCATGGGAATTAATAAAAAATGAAAGTAGATTAAAATTTTTTGATCTTTTTTCACTTTTTTTTGAGTAGGGCATGGGTAAGTTAAAAAAAAGTTTTTTTGTTGGGGGTAGGGGGGGTGTGAGTTTTTTTTGATTGGGGGGGGCGAAAAAAAAATTTTAGGTATACGAAGAGGATAACAAAATTCTTTACAGGAGGCATGGTAGAGGATAGCAGGGTAGGGTACGCTTATGCAAGGTGGGACAGGGTAGGGTAGGTTAACGGTTTGGGTTAGCGTATAACTTGTCAATCGCAGGCTGCGGACTTTGAAACTTCTTTCTTTATATAAAAATGGCAAGAATTTTCTTTACAAATAAAAAAATGGCAAGAACATTTTTTACAAATCAAAATTGGCAAGAACTTTCTTTACAAAACACAAAATGGCAAGAACTTTCTTTACAAAACAAAAAATGGCAAGAACTTTCTTTACAAAGCAAAAAATGAAAAAATTTTCAAAAAATATAATTTTTATTGTTAAGCCTATAACAATGTGAACAGTTACGTAATGTTTACATTTTGTCGCCTGTTTAAATACGACAAATGGCTTTGATTGAAATTGCCGCAGGGGAACGTCTATTAAAGTGAGTGGGAATTGTAATAGCAAAGAATTGAAGCCAATTATTCGAATAAAAAAACGCTTCTGAATCCATTTGGCGAGTGTTTGCGAACATTACTGGAAGTGGGTTATCTTTTGGACTTTTACTGATTTTGGAAAGAAAGTTCTTGCTATTTTTTGTTTTGGAAATAAAGTTCTTGCCATTTTTTTTGTAAACAAAGTTCTTGCCATTTTTGTTTTGTAAAGAAAGTTTATGCCATTTTTTGTTCTGTAAAGAAAGTTCTTGCCATTTTATGTTTTGTAAACAAAGTTCTTGCTATTTTTTGTATTGTAAAGAAGTTCTTGCCATTTTCTGTTTTGTAAACAAAATTCATGTCATTCTTTCCTTTGTAAACAATGTTTTTGCCATTTCTTTCGTAAAACAAAGAAAAATTAACTTTTGCAGCCTGCGGATGACATGTTATACGATGAGTTTTCTTCAAATTTGTTTTAAAAAACGGCTTTAAATTCTATTTCCGTACTTGCTTTAAAATCAAGAGAACCAAGGAGTAAAATGCGACTTTACTGTCAACTTTTATACGATTATGGTACTCTACTATACGCTTTGCTTTGTTTTAGCTGGAAATGAAGTTACTTTTGATAAAAGAAAGCCGTTTTTTAATACATTTAAGCTTCTGTATAGTAAGTTTTGCAATTTCTTGTTCTGTAAAGAAAGTTCTTGCCATTTTTTATTCTGTAAAGAAAGTTCTTGCCATTTTTTGTTTGTAAAGAAAGTTCTTGCCATCTCATATTTTGTAAAGAAAGTTATTGCCATTATTTCTACAAAAAAATGAATAATTTGGTCTGCGCAGCCTGCAGGTGAAGTTATACGAAGCATACTATTTTTTTGGTTTTTACGATTTGTAAAGAAAGTTCTTGTCATTTTTTGCTTTGTAAAGAAAGTTCTTGCCATTTTTTGTTTTGTAAAGAAAGTTCTTGCCATTTTTTGTTCTGTAAATAAAGTTCTTGCTGTTTATGTAATTTTTCAATTTTAAATTAAATTTTTCAAAAGGCACTGAAAGTACCGCACAGTAAACGACTAAATGACAATTGAATTAACGAGTCTTTTCACCTCCTCCCCCTTCTTTATTGCCCTTTTAAATTTGCCGCCAAAAAAATGTCACTATTCAAATTTAGTCCAACAATCAAATGGCGCCTCAATTTTGCCCTTATTAACTTCTTCGCCCTTTTATATTATAATTACCGACCGGGGCGGATTAACATGTTGAACATACGGTGCGTTCGGCATAACATATTGTCACTGTGGGCTTGGCTAACATTGTTTGAGATTTGTATTTTTTGCTTTTTGTGTTAAATTTTTAATTTTTTAAAATTTTATAGGTTTTGAGTGGTTTTTGCCATTTTTCAGTTTGTAAAGAAAGTCCTTGCCATTTTTAAAAAAAATGCGGTTTGCGGCATGCGGACGACAAGTTATACGATGATTACACTTTTTAGAACATTCTGTTTTGTAAAGAAAGTTCTTGCCAATTATTGTTTTGTAAAGAAAGTTCTTGCCATTTTAAAAAAAAATTGCGGTTTGCAGCCTGCGAATGACAATTTATACGATGAATACGCTTTTTCCAAGTTTTAAAGTTAATTTTTGAAATTTTAAGATTTGTAAAGAAAGTTCTTGCCATTTTTTTATCTTGTAAAGAAAGTTATTGCCATTTATATCCAAGAATATCATTTTTATGTGTACCGCAGCCTGCTGGTGACAAGTTATACGGTTGAATGTACTTTGTCAATTTCAATGGATTGGAGTCACTTTTGGCTCTTTTTTGAACTTGTAATGAAAGTTCTTGTCATTTTTTGTTTTGTAAAGAAAGTTTTTGCAATTTTTTGTTTTGTAAAGAAAGTTTTTGCTATTTCTTGTTTTGGAGAGAAAGTTTTCGCCGCTGAACTCTAAGCCTAAAATAATTCTTTCAGTTAAAAAATTTTTTATAAATACTTTTAAAATTTTAATTTTACAAGAAACAACAAATATTCACCATGTAACACTTCTTGTTTGGCGGTGACTTTCTCAGCAATTATCACTAGACTGTAATTTTTTTTTCTTGTTTTTCGCGGTTATTAAAATATTTTTTCTTTTGTTTTACGTTCGCACTTCCTATAAACATGGAAATGTACGAAAGGGGGCGGCGTTGGAAGGATAAGTATGTAGTACTAACAACAAGCAGTAGTGGTACTGTATTTTGGAAGGTGCTAACGAGAAAGGACAAAAAAAATTTTTTGGAATAAGCAGCTTTCAATCTCTTCAGTAATGCCATTTTGTTCGTATTTTAGGGGTTTAACGGGTTTATATTGGCCTTTTTTTGGATTCGCTGCCTGCGGGTGACATTTTATACGATGGGTGCGCGTTTTATCGGTTTTTGGGGTCGTAAAGAAAGTTCTTGCTATTTTGTGTTTTATAAATAAAGTTCTTGCCATTTTTTGATAAGTAAAGAAAGTTCTTGCCATTTTTTGTTTTGTAAAGAAAGTTCTTGCCATTTTTTGTTTTGTAAAGAAAGTTCTCGCCATTTTTTGTTTTGGAAAGAAAGTTCTTGCCATTTTATGTTTTGTAAAGAAAGTTCTTGCCATTTTTTGTTTTGTAAAGAAAGTTCTTGCTATTTCCCGTTTTGTAAAGAAAGTTATTGCCATTTCCCGCCTTGTAAACAAAGTTTTTGCCACTCAATCTTAATAACCCGGGCAAGATCCCAAAAAGTGGGCGGAGCTTGTCGCAGATGTATGCATGAACGATATCGAATATGAGGGTTTTAAAGTGTGTTTATTATTCCGTTTAATGACTAGTTTTGAACACTTTTCAGGACAATGCCTCAGGCTACTTCAAGTTTTATGAATTTTTTTGAAATGTGTGGGTTGTCTAGTAGGGGTTATTACTGTAACTTTTTGGTTTTGGCCGGTTTTTTATGCCTTGCCTTGCCTTTTCTTGCCCTGTCCTATTGTACCCTACCATACCTACCTTACCCTACCCTGCTCTGCCCCACGCAGCCTCGCACCGCCTTGGCCTGCCCTGCCCTGCATTTTATATTTGCTGCCCTACCCACAAAAATAAAAATCTTTTTTCTCCCCTTCCCCCTCCCTTGATTTCCTAAAATGGCCATTTAAAAGAGTCCAAAAAATTCAATTTTTTTACATTTACTGGACCTATAATAATATGCAAAGCCAGTTGAACGTGAAAAATTAGCTCCATGACTTTTCATTGCTACGCTTATGCTTTATACGCCCTTAGGGAAAATAAAATTCGAACAAAAAAGTTTGTCGACCAACGTTTTCAAATGTTTTTACGACTTTTGGCGGGTATAATATGGTCGTACTGTCATATTATGAGTATGACTTGTGGGGGATGGTCTTTTAGGGTCATATAGGGGGTTTTAGGGTTACTGTAGGTACAACAATCATCTTTTGAAAATACTGAGTAAAATTTTAATTTTTTAAGAAAGTTTTTGCATTTTTTAGATTGTAAAGTAAGTTTTTGACATTTTTTGCTTTGTAAAGAAAGTTCTTGCCGTTTTTTGTTCTGTAAGGAAATTTCTTGCTATTTTTTGATTTGCAAAGAAAGTTTTTGCTATTTTTGACAGAATATCAAAGAAAAAAAAATTTTTAAGCGTTAAATTTGCATATACGGTCAATGAAGCCTGACAGCTTCGGTGCGCGGTAATTTGTGAGTGAAATTATTTCTGACTTCTGCCCCGAATACAAAATCCAATTTGACTATAATAATAGGGTACCTTTTTTGCGATTTCCTCTACAACAACAGACACTTTCATAAAAACATTGTAAGCCGGCTGCCGTTTTATCTTTTTGTTACAATGACAATAAGCAGGAAGTGGGGGTACTGTAGGTGGCTTTGATATTATAGGTAGATAAGGGAGAACGGGAAACTGGTAGGGTAGGGTAGGGTAGGGTAGGGTAGGGTAGGGTAGGGTAAGGTGGGGTAGGGTAGGGCAGGGTAGGGTAGGGTAGGGTAGGGTAGGGTAGGTTACGGTAGAGTAGGATAGGATACGATACGGTTGAGTACGAGAAGTGCAAAAACTTTCTTTCCAAAACGAAAGAACTCAAAGTTTCTAAAATCTCTTTAAATACCTATAAAATTTGCATACCTCGGTTTAACGACCGCGTAGTAGTCGCGTCCACTCAAAAATTGACGCTTTTATGATCGTTTCCCAAAAATACCGAAAATTTTAATGCGCCAAAATCTCCAACATGTTCGTATCTTCTCAATTTCAACAAAAAAAGTTTCGCGCCTGAAGGCGGAATTGCGCAACGGTTTCAAGGACTTTAACTGAATTTCACTTTTGCGCCAAAAATTTAATCAAAACAGGATGCGCGAAGTTTTTTCGTCTTATGCACTCCTGTTTTTGCATTGCCAAGAAAGTGGATTAGGAGAATCATGTTGGCAAATATTTGTATTTGGACTGCTTTTAAGGGTTGTATCGCGGGCGGGGTAACATTGCAGTACAGTGAAACCAGTTTTGTATGATCTTCGATAGTGTCAAACCCCCTTTATAACGGCAGCTTCTTTATTGTTCATTGTAATAGAACTCCTACCAAAAAATACCTGGGTAGTCACTCTGGTTAAAAGGACAACATTGGACCAGTTCCTTGAGTGTCACATTGAAGGGGTTTGACTGTATTGGTCGTTGTGCAAACCTTTTTTAAAATTAAAATGTTTTCAGTTTGCTATTAATAGACTTTAAAGTTACTATCATTTCTTTCAAGAACCATTAATGGAGTTACGGGTTAAGTAAAATACGAATCCTCTTTTACATTTTCTACGAAGGGTTAATTTGTCACGTCACCAAAACCCTTTGTAGGAAAAAGTTTTATACGAGTTGTAAAAAATTTTTTTACAAGTTGTTCAAATGCAATCAAACGCCATAATAGAAGAGAAACACAGCAAAAACGGTAGTTCCTATATATTTATTAACCTTGAGATATAGAACAGTTTTTGCGCTGTAATCCAAAGACGAAGGCCAATACTTTTGGGGTCGATAAGCACTCTGTTGTCTTTTGATTGGGTTACGCAACTTTGAACTTTTGAAGCTTTTGATTTCATCTGAAAATAAAAGTTGCTGTAAAACTCTTGTATAATAAACCGCTTAAGACTCTTAAAAATGTTCGTTATACGGGATTTTTTTTAGTAGTTCGTTGTACATGACTTCTACTGTAATTATGTTAAGCGTGTTGTAACCTTTGTACATAAATAACGAATAAGAACTAAAACTGTAAAAAGGCAGGGACTAATAATAATTCAGGTCATGATTTTTTGTCTGGAAGGGTTTAACCCTGCATATAGCTTCTGGGAGCTCCATCCCTGTACAAAGGGACTGAATAAAATTGGCAGATATGTCGATTTTTGGGCACGATTAACTTTTTTTTAATTATTATAGACTAAAACTCTAGAATTAAGTCTACATTTGTAAACACCTCTAACCTATAGTAGCGCACTGCCTTAAAAACTATTTTTTAAAGTAAACAAATTACGGGATATTTCAAGTATTCACGCCTCCCAACTGTTTATAAAAACGTTGAAGGAAGTGGACTTGAGGGCGTAAGAAACGTGTTCCGTGTCCATTTTTGAAAAAGGGGTCAAATACGGGCGAATTCAAGGGGTTTAAATAAAGGGCTGGAAAGATGGACGGACGGCTTCAATTTTTGCTTATTTAAATTTTTCAAGCGGGATTTGACATTTTTGGGAAAAAGCGGGGGTAAAAAACGTTTTGGTTAGTAATAAGGGGGGGGGGGAAGGAGGGGGTTGGTGAATATCAAAAAAACTTTTGTCATACCCCGCCCTACCCCTACCTACACTACATTACCTACCTTACCCTACCCTATCTTACCATTAAACTTTGTAAAGAAAGTTTTAGGCAAAAGCTGCTTACTAAAGTCAGCTCTTTTTATGTTTAGTCAAGTAAACAAAGTTCTTGCCATTTTTTGTCATTTCGTAAATAACCTACAGCCGTTTTTTAATCAAGTTGATCTTGACATCAATGAGATAGAAAGTAATTTACTTTGACGTAGATCGAAATCTGATTATTCTGTCGGCGATTTCATTAGACTAATGGCTTATTCTGTAACTCCTTTTGTATTTTTTACTATCCTTTGTTAAAAGTATTGCGAGGTTCTAGTTTTTTGAGGGTTTTTTGTACTTCTTGGGTAGGTTAGTTACGCTTTTAAACTAAACTTAAATATATATGTTAAGCCTAAAACAACTTTAAAGCTAAGCGGAGCCTAGACGAAACTTATGCAGAATTATCTTAAGCTAAGCCTATGCCAAACCTAAGCGAATTCAAAGCTAAGCCTAAGCTAAGCCTAAGCCAAGCCTAAGCTAAGCCTAAGCTAAGCCTAAGCTAAGCCTAAGCTAAGCCTAAGCTAAGCCTAAGCTAAGCCTAAGCTAACCCTAAGCTAAGCCTAAGCTAAGCCTAAGCTAAGATTAAGCTAAGCATATGCCAAACCTAAGCTAAGCCTAAAACTACGTTTATGTTATAGCTAGAACTATTTAAGCTAGGTTGAAGATAAGCTGAGATTAAGCCTAATTTAAGCTTAAAACAGAGTCCAAAGTTAAGCTTAAAATAAGCCTACGCTAAGCCTAAAGTTATACTTAAGCTAATTTTAAGAGATGTAAGCCAGTTATAAATTTAAAAACGGCAAAAACTTTCTTACCACTCATTCTGCCCCCCCCTTTTTTTTGGCCGTCTTGTTTGTCATTGTTTATTCTTGTGGTCAGAAATGGCCTAAAAGGGTCAAAGGAATAATTTTTGGGCCTGAAATTCCTCCAAAGTTTTATTGTTTTTTGAAGAAAGCCAAACGTCGTCAGGTGTTTTCGCACGTTTTCTGACCGCAAACTTGTGAATTTCGAGGATTTTGAGAGGATGAACTGGGAAATGATTTCGGCAATTATTTGATGTCATGACACCTTGGCATTGCTTTTTGATATTTTTTAGTTTTTTATTTTTTTTGGATTTGTAAGCAATTTTGGATTTTGGAAAGGAAGTTCTTGCCATTTTTTAATTTGTAAAGAAAGTTCTTGCCATTTTTTGCTTTGTAAAGAAAGTTTTTGCCATTTTTTGCTTTGTGAAGAAAGTTCTTGCCATTTTTCGCTTTGTAAAGAAAGTTCTTGTCATTTTTTGTTTTGTAAAGAAAGTTCTTGCCATTTTTTGTTTTGTAAAGAAAGTTCTTGCATTTCTCTACAACTTTTGACGTGTTTTCTATCGTGATTCATTACCGTAACCTTTTTTTAGTGTTGACCTTTAAAAAACGGCAATTAAATATGTTTTAGATACAAAAAACAGCCGACTCAACTACTGGTTTTTACCTACTGTTACAAGTGTTACTCCTACTTAACAAATAACTTACTATTGACTACTTGTTTACTGCTTTTTTGAGGTGTTTTACTGTAAGTTTGATATTATACTACTATTCAATTTTTTATTTTTAAAAGTTACAGTACGTCAAATACTAAAATATAGTACTATTACTAAAATTTTATTTTTTGTAAGTTACAGTACACTCAGTAATAATACTTTTACAGTACTACAACTATATCTTTCATATTTTAAGTTACAGCAGTTGAGTACTAATATTTGTACAGTACTACTACTAAAATTCTATTTTTTGTAAGTTACTGTAACCCGAATACTAATATTTTTACAGTAGCAATACTAACGTGAAAAATTAACAAATTTTAAGTTACAGTACTCCTACTACTAATATTTTTACAGTACTTTTACTAAAACTCTAGTTTTCAAAATTACAGTACCCCAACTACTAATAACTCTACAGTACTACTACTAAAACATCAACTTTTTTAGTTACAGTACCCCAACTACTAATAACTCTACAATACTACTACTACTAAACCGCAGTTTATTAAGTACTATGAGAGGATATTGTAATGTTGGTACTTGATGTTGTCCATGGCTGATGATGACATCAAAGGCCTTTCTCCCACTTTTGGCCATAATCTTGGCCACTCGAGCAGGTGAGTGGATATTTATGAAAAAAACCGACGATTAATTATTGCGCTAATTAAGAGGGCCGAGGTCAAGATGACGCAATTTTTGGATGTATGACTTATTTAATATTTTTGAAATTTTTTTAAATTTATGCGTAATCTAAGCCTAACAGTAAGCATAGATAACACCTAGCGAAACTAAGCCTTAGTCTATTAAGCCTAAGCCTACTATGCCTAAGCCTACTAAACCTAAGCCTACTAAGCCTAAGCCTACTAAGCCTAAGCCTACTAAGCCTAAGCCTACTAAGCCTAAGCCTACTAAGCCTAAGCCTACTAAGCCTAAGGCTACTAAGCCTAAGCCTACTAAGCCTAAGCCTACTATGCCTAAGCCTACTAAGTTTAAGCCTAAGCCTACTAAGCCAACTAAGCTTAAGCCTTCTAAGCCTACTAAACCTAAGCACATGATACCTAAGAATATTAAGCATGCGAACTTTTATATCAGTTATGAAAGCCTAAAACGTTATAATGAAAGCATTTATCAATGAGCAAAACATCTGCGTTGTTACCTAATCTCGCTGATATAATTATTATGTATAGCCTTAGAGAAATTGTCAGAAATGTTATTACGCAACGTTTTCTTATTTAATATTATTGATTTATATAATATTTGCCTCGGTGTAAAACGACCCAACAAATGACTGCGAGTGCTATATACGTCCTGGCTAAATTTTTCTGCGGGGAATCTTTTTTACCTGCCATTTATGAGTATATAAACCCAACATCTCCTGCATAAACGGACATTCTAGCTCTACCTTAAACCTAAGTTAAGCCTAAGCTAAGCCTAAGCTAAGCCTAAGTTAAGCCTAAGCTAAGCCTAAACCTAAGCTAAGCCTAAGCTAAGCCTAAGCTAAGCCTAAGCTAAGCCCAAGCTAAGCCTAAGCTAAGCCCAAGCTAAGCCTAAGCTAAGCCTAAGCTAAGCCTAAAACTAAGCCAAAGCTAAGCCTAAAACTATGCCAAAGCTAAGCCTAAGCTAAGCCTAAACCTAAGCTAAGCCTAAGCTAAGCCTAATCTAAGCCTAAGCTAAGCCCAATGCTAAGCTTAAAGCTTCTTTTTACCTGCCGTATTGCGTAATTACGTCAAATTGCGTAAGCTTGCGAAAGCCCAAGCATACCTATCCCAAGCCGACTAAGCATAAGCGTACTATGATGAAGCTTGCCAAGCCTAAGTCTACTAAGCCTAAGCTTACTAAGCCTAAGCCTACAAAGTTTAAGCCTACTAAGCCTAAGCTTTCTAATTTAAAGCTTAATAAGCATAAGCGTACTGAGGATATGCTTAAACCTACTAAATATTAGTATTAAGCCTAAGAATGCTAATTTTAAGCCTACATGTTCTAAGCAATCTAATGATTTTTAAGAGTTTTTTGTTATTTCTGGTTTGTAAAGAAAGTTGTTGAAAATTCAATTTAATTTAGAATTTTTTTAATTTTTAATTTTGCAATTCCAGAAGACACATATCACATAACGAACAGTCGTGATCAACGTGGCGTGCCGTTTGATTCATGGATCAATCAAACTCAAGCCGAGTCCAACTGTACCCAGTGCACCATCTTCCTGAATCACACGAGTTATGCTGAAGGCGAGGTGCTGTTATTCAAGAATAAGAGGAGCAGGCACAGGGCCATTCCTATCATGGGACCGATTGGCAATGTGAATAGCAAGTTCAACGACGCTCTCACCTTCAAGGAGTGGCTGAAACGGGTGTATTCTGAAGAGAAAGGTAGGGTATGGGCATGGTAGATCAGAAATTATATTTTATTTGGGCAGGGTAGTTCAAAAATTATATTTTATTTGGGCAGGGTAGTTCAGAAATTATATTTTATTTGGGCAGGGTAGTTCAGAAATTATATTTTACTTGGGCAGGGTATGTCAGAAATTATATTTTATTTGGGCAGGGTAGTTCAGAAATTATATTTTTTGGGCAGGGTAGTTCAGAAATTGTATTTTATTTGGGCAGAGTAGTTCAGAAATTTTATTTTATTTAGGCAGGGTAGATCAGAAATTATATTTTATTTGGGCAGGGTAGTTCAGAAATTATATTTTACTTGGGCAGGGTATGTCAGAAATTATATTTTATTTGGGCAGGGTAGTTCAGAAATTATATTTTTTGGGCAGGGTAGTTCAGAAATTATATTTTTTGAGCAGGGTAGTTCAGAAATTGTATTTTATTTGGGCAGAGTAGTTCAGAAATTTTATTTTATTTAGGCAGGGTAGTACAGAAATTTTATTTTTTTGGGCAGGGTAAGGTATGGTGGGATAGAGTAGGGTAGGGTAGGGTAGAGTAGGGTGGGTAGGGTAATTGTGTATTACTAAAATAGGTAACAACGAGATGACAAATCCGATAATTTATTTACCTCGGGATCAAAGCTTCCGAACCGTGTTATAAAAGGTCGTACAAGGTTTAATCCGGGATCGGGAATCGTGCGGGAACGCGGTTCAAATTATCGGATTACTGTAACACTATGTTATTATATGTTTTGGTAGTACATGGACATTGTTTTTATAATGCTACAGTACCTACAGTAAAATTTCGAAAAATTTCAAAAATTTTTAAATTTTTTAAAAATTAAAAAAAAATTATTTGATAAGATTACTGTAACAATGTTTCCATTTTCAGCGGTGAAAGTGAGTGTACGAACGACAGATGTGGTTCGACCGGTGATGTTACACTTGCACGCGTCTCGAGATAGGTTTAGAGCTCCAATTATCATTCATGCTGACGTCTTTGATAGTCCCAACAGTCAAGAGGTAAGGGTTTTGATTAGACTTGTAAAGGGGCCAAGCTTGAACTGGGTCAAGCGGGCCCTTGTTTAGGTCTATTTTGCCCTTTCTTCCGTATAACTTGTCACCCGCGGGCTGCGGGTTAAAATTTGCACTTAGAAGAGAGAAATGGAAAGAACTTTCTTTACAAAACAAAAAATGGCAAGAAATTTCTTTACAAAACAAAAAATGGCAAGAACTTTCTTTACAAAATTCACAAAAATATTTTTTTTTCAGAAATCCGTCGACGCCAGCGTCTTCATCGACAGTGCAAAAAAGTTGTTGCCAGAAGCAATAATTTCAATTGGATGGACGCCTTCTGGAGACTTTAACGTTGTTAACAAGCTGGATTGGCGACAAGTTTTCCGACTGATAGAACTGGTCTATGATCTTGAACAACCATTGATATTGAATATGAAACTGAATGATGTAAGTTAGCCTACCCTACTTTACCCTACCATACCCTACTCTTCCCTACTTTACCCTACCCTACCCTACCCTACCGTATCCTACCCTACCTCTACCCTACCCTATTGTTTCTTTTTACCCATGCCCACTATTTTGCTTTTCCCTTTATTTTTATCCCCCCCCCCTTTCCCCTCCTTTATTTTACCCTGCCCTACTTTTTACCCTGCCCACTGTTTTAAATCGGCTCCTTTTTATTATACTTCTTCCCTTCCCCCGCCCCCACGTCCCCTTTCATACCCCCCCCCCTCCTCCACCCCCCCCCCTCCTCCCTCTACTTCTCCCACCTCCCCCCCCATTCTCATATATGAAAATCTAATGCTCACATTACTTTAGGCAATTCACTCAGCAAAGCAGTTGGAATGGCTGCTAGGAACTCACAAGCCTCAAATCTACCTCGTGATCAAAGGTGAAGTGACTGATTTCGTCGATAAATGGGAGCCCCTAGAACACCTAACAGCCCTAGCCTCAGGGCGAAAGCTTTTATTCGATGTGGACGATACCTGGCGTACCAGGCTTGGTCACGTTCAGCCTAGCCGGAAAGAAAAACGAGATTTGGACTCGGATCAATGGACTAACCTGGTGTTTCCCAGTCCATTCTCAATGCTATCTACCTCAATATTGTCGAATAATGGTGTGGCCTTCTTGGGATGGCCTAACAGTTTGACTATTTCGAATAAAAGAATTCATCAGGCTCCGTTTAGTCAAAGTGTCAGTGGAAAAGTAAGTTTACAGGGCTTGAAAAGTAGAGTGGTATGATTTTGGAGGCCTTAAGAAGGGTGGGGGTGGATTAATTTGGAAGCTTAGGCTTGGTCTTATCAGGCTTAGTAGGCTAAATTAAGAATTAGTAGGTTTATGCTTATTCTTAGTAGGCTTAGACTTAGTAGGCTTAGGCTTATTAGGTTTAATATTAGTAAGCTTAATGTTAATAGGCTTAACTCAATAAGCGTAGTCATAGTAGGCTTAGGTTAAGTAGGAATAACTTTAAGTTTTGTAAACATAATCTTACTTAGCTTAAGCCTACTAAGCCTAAAGTTACTAAGCCTAAGCCTACTAAGCCTAAGACTACTAAGCTTAAGAATACAAAGTTTAAGCCTACTAGGCCTAAGCCTTATAAACCAAAGTTTACTAAGCCTAAGCATAATAAGCCTACGCTTTCTCAGCCTAAGCTTACTAAGCCTAAGCCTACTAAGCCTAATACTACTAAGACTAAGCCTACTAAGCCTAAGCTTACTAAGCCTAAACTTACTTAGCCTAAGTCTACTAAACCTAAGCCTACTAAGCCTAAACCTACTAGGCCTAAGAATACTAAATCTAAGCCTAATCAACCCAAAATTGCAAAAGTTCAGGCTTAAAACCTACGTCAGACCATTCAATATTTTAGGTATTATTCCTGGAAAAACGTCAAACCCGAGCCATTTCCCCATCCCGCAAGTCCGGTCTAAGCCTGGACTTTTTCGAAACCGAACCTCATCGACTTCTGGGTCCAGAAATCCCCAGATCAATTCGAGTCTTCATTGGCTACGATGGCAAAGTTTCAATCGAGAACAGAGAGACCAAGAGACGGAAAAGGGTGCTACACGGCTTCAAGGAAAGTGCTGTCAGCCGGCTGCCAAAAAGTAATTGTTACGGATTTAAAGCACTGGATCGGACGTGGAGGGTGGAGGTAGAGGTGTTCACAATGGAGTGCAGGGATGAGGATGACGACGATGTGGATCAGAAGAAGGTGTTTAATGTAAGTAATTAAAAAAAGTTTTTAAATAAACAAAATGGCAAGAACTTTCTTTACAAAGCTTCCCCCCCCAAAACTACTTTATAAATCAACCGTTTTCAGGAATACCGAACCTTCATCTCACTGGAAACTCCACCACTAAGATCTCGTAAAGCACGCTATGTTGCTGTAGGCAAAAGTGGCGACGGCGCCATCGACTTCTTGGTCGAGGAGCTGCGACACAGTAGCAGTAGCGTGTTGAAACTGCCGCTTTCCATCTGCACATTGTTGTCTGTATATTTATTTATACGGTATTTAGCTTAAGCCTAGATTAATAAAGTTATTCGTTATTTTAAACAATTTAGGCTAAAGTAGTAGTACCACAAAGTGTACCAGTGGTACCAAAATAAAAATTTTGGCTTTTTAGAAAAAATAAAGCAGACTAAAAGTTTTTAAAATCTAAGTACTATTAAAAATCATTTGTAAGGCCGATGGTACCAGTAGTACCATAAAGAGTACCAATTTTTTTTCAAAAAAAGCTTCAAAATCAACATCCAAACACTTCCCAATAGCTTTCTTACTTTATATTTCAAATTCCAACAACAAACAACCATGGAAACATCAAAACTTAACAATATAAAATCAACCACAATATCTACTCCATATCTTCACTCTGTGTCCGGCCATGCTCCTGAACCGTGTTCATGACCTCAAAAACCTTCTTCGCATTCTCCAAGGCTTTGTCATAAGCTGCTTTTCGCAGCTCTTTAGTAATATCAGGCGATACTCCACTTTGCCACAGGAAAATTTTACCATTTTCAGCTACTATAATATCAAATCGTGTGTTGACGCGTGCTACACAGTCTGTTGTTGGGTCGGTTAAGAAAATAGGCTAAAATGAAACGTTGTTTAGCTTTTTAAACTGAACCCGGTAAGATGGAGTGATAGAAAACATCCAAATTATATAAAAGTATATTCCCAATCCCGTCTAATCCAAGGTTAACCTAAAAACCAAGATAAAAACCAAAAGACCTACCTCATCATCTTCCTCGTCCTTGAACAACAACAGCCCAGTGTAAGAAAGCCTATTCCTAAGCCTAACTTGGAATAACTTATCAGAATCAAAAATAAATCTCGACTTCTCCTTAACAACAGCTCCTTGTTTGAATTTCTCCTCCAAATCCTCAACATTCGTCGAATCCACAGATGCTGTAGGTAATTTAATATTAGCTAAAGCAGTCTGAACTCCCAGTAACACCGCTCCAAGCAGGAATCCGTCACAAGTATTGATATTGATGTTCACTACCAGCTGATACTGATATTCACCGTCAAAAGTTAGCGATCTGGGATCCACAAGCACGTGCTTTCGTGAAAAATCTTGTAGTACTGCACAACAAAACTCAAATTCTCGCTGAAATAAACAATTTGTAAGAACATTTTAATCTTTCAATTTTGAGGTGTCATAAACAATATCAAGCTATAACTTTAAGTTTTAAGTCTTAAAACAACCAAAAACCATTTCAAAAACAAGATAAACATCTCTTCTAACTTCCCCATCACTAGTAGCCTAAAATTCCAACAAAAAAGCAAATAAATTACCTTATCCACGACGTTACTCTTCTCAAACTTGAACCTCACGCACTGTAGCGGGTCGTAGTAGCCGGCTTTTGGAATCACCGTGCAAGATAATGTGCATCCTTGATACTGAACATATGATGAACCTGCTGCATTCTCGTCAAGTCCAACTCGAACCAGGTATGGGCGTTCTGAGTCCGTTTCTCGACCATCTTCGTAAATTCCGGCCAAAAAGAACTGTTTGTAAAAGTCTATGCCCTCTATCTCCTTCAATAACGCACTGTTTAACGTTGCCATTATTCTAAAAGCAAGATATAAGTTTAATGTAATTTTTTTAATAGTTTTTAATTAACAAAATAGTTGAAAAGGCAAGAAATACATCAATTTATACAATAATATTCGTGAAATATTTGCTTAAAATGAAATGCCAAGGCCGCTTTTGCGCGTGCTTGTTTTCGTGTCGGGACTTACGTGTTTACTTCATCGTTCCAAAAATTAATTTTTAAATGTTACTAAATGTCAAAAACGATGTAGATTAAAATTTATTGATCAACACACATTCAATTAACAAGATATTGTAGTTAAATCGATTTCTCGTCCAGTTGTACAGCATTTCCTGGGCCACGTTTACATGAGTACTTCATGCCTTTGTAAGTCTTGGTTTGGCCAATATTTAACCTCTTCTTCATGCCCTTAATGTAACAAGCCACAATCTTAGTGTTATATCCGTTGTTTTTTGCGTAACACTTTTTAACAAAAGAATTGTCATATACATAGGTTTGGCCGTTACGGTACTTTTTGCCATTTGCTTCTTCACACATTGGCTTGGCCAGAATCATTGTGACCATTATGAAGAATATAACGTACTGTAGACTGTTCATGTCTAAAAGTGTTATATTTAGTCGTATATCAAAAGTTATGGCACAAAAAAGCGGTTATTGGTATATTAGTACTAAAACAAGACAGCCAAAATTTTTTAGTACAAAACCTAATTTGAAAAAACAAAACTGTATTATTCAAATCATCCTAATACAAACATATATAACGTACTCTGACTTCACCCAACACGAAATAACACGTCTTGTAACTAAAAATAAATTTGGCCCGATCGGATGTCTATGATAATATAGGAATGTGTGTTCCACGCAGAAAACCCATTTTATATTAATGGGACAAAGTCCATCACGTCTTATTATACATGATTTATATATGTCATTACACTTTTATTGGGTTTTGGACTAATTTTATTTACATTTGAAGAATATTGAAGAATGAATGTTGATTGGGTGGTTATGGTAAAAATGAAAAATCTTGGGTTGTAGACTAGGGATTGATCTGAATTTAAGGGAAGTAGTAGTTAATAGACATATCATTAATATGTAAAAAGTAGAGTTTAAAATTTCTTTTAGAAAAGGCGGTATTTTAGTTCAAAATTTAGATTTTTTAAATTTTGCAGCCGCTATTTCGGCGTTGTATTTTAGGCTATTTTTTAATTTCAAAAATTAAAAAAGTTGTAAAATACGTTTTGAACAGCTTTTTTTAGTATAAAAATATTTTTTTTAAAGAATTTTTTAATATTTATAATATAAACTTACTATGAAGTAATTGTCATCATTATTGTAGTACGGTACCTTTAAAGCCGCAGTTTTACAATTTAAAAACAAAACAAAAAAACTAAAATGACATTATATAGATTAAAACAACTTTAAAGATAACGTTAACATCCCGTTTTGGTTTATTTTCTTCTTCTAACACTACTTACAGAGCAATCAATATTAACCTTAACCAAATTTCCCAAAAACTCTAAACCACAGTTTATGTACCGTAATAATCAATATTCAAACCAAAAAAATCTTATCAAAAACTGTCTTAAAATCAAGCATCAACCACTTCGGACTTGATCGAGACTCCGCCGCTTTCATTCTGCTGGCATCTGATGCGGAATCGACCGTTCGTAACGCTGCCACCGACCGGGATCTGTTGTTTGGTTTGAGGGTTCAAGCAGGCGATGATTTTGGTCTCCCAGCCCATGTCGTGCACAATACAGGTCTTCAGAAAGTTGTTGTTGACCACCCACTTTTGGCCGTTATTGTACTTTTTGCCATCGCCGTCTTCGCATTGCATTGCGGCCAAGGAGACGGCGAAGAAAGCGCTGGCGACGAGGAGGACGAAGGCGGTTTTCATGGCTGAAATTAGGTTTTTATAGTGTTTTAGGTACTAAATCAGCAATAATATTTAAGTAGGGACACGTAAAATGCCAAGATTAATAAAAATTTCACCTTTTGAAAAAAAATATGGCTATTACACTTTTTGGTACTAATGGCACTACTGGTACAAAATGAAATAATTATTAAAAGTAAAAGCTAGAAAAAAAAGTGAAATACGCTACCCCAGACTAAAATTTTAAAAATTTATTTTTATTACTACTGGTACACTTTTTGGTACTACTGGTACACATTTAAAAAAATCAGCTTTTTAGGTCAAAAATAAATTTAAAACATTGTAAAATGCCTTTAGTTACAAATTTCTTTTTCAATGCCTAAGCCAAAGCCTCAGCTTTAGTTTATGCGTAAGCCCAAGCCTAAGCCTATGCCTAAGCTAAGCAAAAGCATAAGCATAAGCCTAAGCCTAAGCCTAAGCCTAAGCCTAAGCCTAAGCCTATGCCTATGCGTATGCCTGAGCCTAAGCATAAGCCTAAGCCAAAGGATAAAGAACTCAAAAATGCATTTAAGACGTTGAGAAACGCCTCTAGTTTCAAATTTAAAAGGCTAAAATTCAATATTAAAGTTCCGAAAAATCAATTTCAAAAAGCAGTTAAAATTTTTAGAATTTTAAAATTGATAGCATTTCGAATTGAAACTTTGATTATATACGCTTTTGATTGTTTATTTGAGAACAAATAAAAGCGCTGATTTACAATGCAACAATCATGTTCAAAGTTTGATTGTTTATTTGAAATAATCAAAAATAGCTAAAATTCAAAAAGGTCATTCATTGAAATTGGGATTAAAGGGTTGACAATACTGACAGTATTATTGTCAATTACAGTATAAAAATCTTGTCATACCAAATACAAAAATAATTATATATAATGATATTATGATAAGGTATTACCCTAGCTTTAGCCCTAGCCCTACTCCTACCCCTAGCGCAATTCTTAGTCTTGGTCTAGGTCCGGGTTCTCATCTTGGTCTAAGTGTTGATCCTAGTCCTGATCCTGGTCCTACTTCTAGTCCTGGCCCAGTCCTGGTCTTGGTCCTGGTCCTAGTCCTGGTCCCAGCCCTGGTCCTGGTCCGGGTTCTGGTCTTGGTCTAAGTGTTGATCCTAGTCCTGATCCTGGTCCTAGTCCTAGTCCTGGTCCCAGTCCTGGTCTTGGTCCTGGTCCTGGTCCTGGTCCCAGTCCTGGTCGTGGTCCTGGTCCGTGTCCCGGTCCTGGTCCTGGTCCTAGACCTGGTCCTGGTCCTGATCTTGGCGCTAGTTCTATTTCTGATCCTGGCCCTCGTCCTGGTTCTAGTTCTGGCCCAAGTTCTGGTCCTGACACTAGTCTTGGTCGAGATCTTAGGCTTGGACATGATTGTAATCCTGGTTCTAAACTTAACCAAAGCTGAACTCTTAGTCTTAGCCCTGGTTTTCCTAACCCTGGTCCGGGCGCTAGCCCTAGCCCAAGCTCTAGCCCACCTCTGGCCAAAAAAAGCTGAAACCAAGCCGCAGCCCAACCCCAGCCTTACTCTACCCTAACCGAATCTAGTGAGTACTAATACCAACTGTACTGTTAATGCTTTCAGCTCCGTATTTTACATTGCTAAGACTAAACATTTAAAAATAAATTACAGTACCCGGTTTAAATATACCCATTCCCGAACATTCTGTGGCCAAGTTTCATTATTTGACGTAAGCAAACTTGTCAAATCGATGCCATTCATTAAACCCTCTCTTCTGGTCTTGCTTCCTGATGTGCCTGTTGACAAACCCTTCCACTGATAACATTAATATGTTATAAATAGGATGGGCTTTTATAATTGGGTTAAGAACGCTTGTAATGATTTTTTAAATTAGATTAGAAAACTTAATCTTAAGCTTTAACTCACAGTTAGGCTTCAAACTGAGATCAATCATATCTTTAGACTTAGTTTTAAGCTGAAATATTTAGTTTTAAGCTTAGGTTTTATTAGTTTTTTAGGCTTAAGCTGAGTTTAAGTCTTAGCTGGGAGCCATGGCTTAGACTTGAAAATTAGGCTTAAGCTTAAGTTTAAGCTTAGACTCAAGTTCAGCCTTAAACTCAGACTTAGGCTAAGGTATTTTAACCTTAGGCTTAAAATGAACCTTGAGTTTTAATGTCCTAAGCCCATGCCAAACATCTTAAACTTTAAGCCTAGGCCTAAACTTGATCCTGAGTTTTACCTTCATCCTAAGCCTAAGACCAAGCCTAAGCTTGAACCTCAGTCTAAGGCTAAGCCTAAGCCTTAGCCTAAGAACAAGTCTAAGCCTAAGCCTGAGCCTTATCCTAAGCCTGAGCCTAAGCCAAAGCCAAAGCCAAAGCCAAAGCCGAAGCCTAAGTTTAAGCTTAAGCCTAAGCCTCAGCCTCAGCCTAAGCCTCAACCGAAGCCTAAGCCAAAGCCGAAGCCTAAGAACAAGCCTAAGCCTAAGCCTAAGCCTAAGCCTAAGCCTAAGCCTGAGCCTTATCCTAAGCCTGAGCCAAAGCCTGAGCCTAAGTCTAAGCCTAAGCCTAAAACTAAGCTTAAGCAAAAACCCAAGCCTATTTAAGCCTAAAATATAACTGTAGCGATTTATAGTTTTATTTGTTGCACTCTAATTCAAAAAAAAGAAACAAAACTGTGCCAAAGGGCACAAAATTTATATTTTTTTGGAGCGAAAAAAACCGATTTTCGGAAGATTGATGAGGGCCAAAACGTGAACAGTGTTGGTTGAGGACCGCTAGCGATTAGAAAAAGGATTCTTCACGTTTTTTTGAGAAAGGCCGGAGGTCAAATTAATTGTTGTTTGGAAGGGATTCATCTTTAGATCGAGTTCAAAGATGGGAGGTAAAGCCGAAGCTTGCAAGGGCTTTAAGTTTACAAGTTATTTTAGGGTAGGGTAAAGTAGGGTAGAATGAGGGTAGAGTAAATTGGGATAGGACAAAGCGGGATAAGGCAAGATAGAATAAGATAGGGTAGGGCGGAGTAGAATAGGGTAGGGTAGAATAAGGCAGGGCAAGTGGGGAAAAGTAAGGTAGGGTAAAGCAGATTAGGGTATGGTAGAATATCAAGCTAGGACAGGACAGACAGAGCAGGGCAAGCCAGAGCAGCGTAGAGCTGGGCAGATCAGGGCAGGACAGGGTAGGGTAGGGTAGGGTAGAGTAGGGTAGGGTAGGGTAGGGTAGGGTAGGGTAGGGTAGGGTAGGGTAGGGTAGGGTAGGGCAGGGTAGGGTAGAGTAGGGTAGGGTAGGGTAGGGTAGGGTAGGGTAGGGTAGGGTAGGGTAGGGTAGGGTAGGGTAGGGTAGGGTAGGGTAGGGTAGGGTAGGGTAGGGTAGGGTAGGGTAGGGTAGGGTAGGGTAGGGTAGGGTAGGGTAAAGTAGGGCAGGGTAAAGTAGTGTGGGGCAGGTTCGCGTTTTACCTAGTAATTAAAAGTGACCAATAATTAAAAAAATTATTTAAGTCATCAAAATGGGTATATCTCACCTTATCTTTCTCCTATCAACGTTATTACTGGCAGTATCAGCTACGGAACGTCAATGTGTAGATGAGCATAATCGTAAGTTCGATCATGATCGTGAATGGCGTTCAATGGACGGGAATTTTGTCAAAAAATGCGAAGTTTTTGCTCATGGATGGCAAATTAAAGTGGTAAGCCTAAAATTTAAAAAATCGGTACCAGTGATACCATAAAGTGTACCAAACATTTTTTTTCAAAATGTCAAAAAAAATAATTTTAAACTGTTTTTTTAAAATATTATAATTTTTAGTACCAATAGAACCACTAGTACCAAAAAGTGTACCAAACACTAAACTTTTAAAAACTCGTGAAATGACATTTTAATAACACTTAATAACTTACATGCCATTTCCAGGTCAGCTGTGCCAGTAAATCCAACAAACGTATATCAATTGGTTCCAAACTGATCGAAGGTCCCATGATCTGGTACTGTGACAAATCCTCAAACGGTGGAGTATCTCTTCGTGCTGAACCAAATCCTGATGCCGAGTGTAACGGTGGCCACTTACCCGGCTCCAGATGGGTTGATGGAGCATTTGAACGGGAATGTCAAGCTGGTGCTCATGCCAAGATTGTCGGTTGTGTATCACAAAGTGGTGCTCGAATTGAGCTGGGTGGATCGGTGGAAGAGCAGGGTGATATTGTGTTATGTGAGAAGCGGCCGGATGGAAGTATTAGCATGAGGAATGAAAGGAATCCTAATGCTTATTGTGGTGAACATGGTCCTGGTAAGGGAGTTTTGGGGCTAATCAGTACCAGTAACACCATTTTTTTTTCTCCCTTTGCAGGAAATGGCAATAACTTTTACAGAAAATGGCAAGAAACTTCGTTACAAAACAAAAAATGACAAGAACTTTCTTTACAAAACAAAAAACGGCAAGAACTTTCTTTACAAAGCAAAAAAATGACAACAACTTTCTTTACAAAACAAAAAACGGCAAGAACTTTCTTTACAAAGCAAAAAAATGACAACAACTTTCTTTACAAAACAAAAAATTGCAAGAACTTTCTTTACAAAACAAAAAATGGCAATAACTTTTACAGAAAATGGCAAGAAACTTCGTTACAAAACAAAAAATGACAAGAACTTTCTTTACAAAACAAAAAATGACAAGAACTTTCTTTACAAAACAAAAAACGGCAAGAACTTTCTTTACAAAGCAAAAAAATGACAACAACTTTCTTTACAAAACAAAAAATGGCAAGAACTTTCTTTACAAACCAAAAAACGGTTGGCCTAAACCTAAACCTAAGCCTATGCTTAAACTTAATCCTAAGCTTACGCCAAAGCCTGAGCCAAACCCTGAACCAAAGTCTAAGCCTAAGGCCAAACCAACAGCAAACTTTAAACCTAAGCCTAATTGTATTCATCCTACCCTACCTTACCACCAACAATCATTTCAGACTCCGAATGGGTAGAAGAATCCTTTGTAATGCGATGTGAAGCCGGTGGTCGCTCCGAAATCGTCGGTTGTCAACTCCCAACCGGCGAACGGATCGAACTCAACGACAAACTCCACTACAAAGGCTACATCATCCACTGTCAGCAGTTCGAAAACGGTACTCATCGCATCTTCTCGGAACCGGACCCGACTGCCGAATGTGATGGAGAACATCCGGCCGGCTCCAGATGGATCGAAAACGCGTTCGAAAAGGAGTGTCTGCCTGGTGCATTGACCAAAACGACCGGTTGTGTGCTGGACGATGGGCAGAGGATACCGTTGGGCGGTAAGACAGAGTTTGGCAAATTCTTGGCATTCTGCAACAACAACAACAATGGCACGGTGTCTTTGACATTGGATGTGAACCCTGATGCTCCATGTGGAGAGCATTTGCCTGGTGAGAAATTTTTTTAAATATTGAGTTTTGGACACTTTAAGTATTATTAGTACCAGTGGTACCAAAAAGTGTACTAGTGGTACCAGTAGCACCAAAAAATGTTTCAAAATTTATTTTTAAAATGTCTAGATTTTTAAAACATGTTAAAAGGGGCTTTTGGACCAAAATAAAAATTTTGGTACCATTATTACCAGTAGTACCAAAAAATGTACCAAAAACAAAAATTTTCAAAACTTTATAAAAACAAGTTTTAACCCATTTTAAACTTATAATCGACCTTTATAGCGCCTTTTTGATGCCCTGAGAGAACATAAAACAGTAAAAAAGAGCCAAAGGTACCACTAACACCGCTAACTTCCTTACTTTCAGGCTCCCGCTGGGTAGAGCGATCCTTTGAAAAAGAATGCAAACTCGGAGGTAATACTGAGATTGTCAGTTGTGTCACCTCGACTCGTCAACGTGTCCCACTAAACGGCCATATTCTAATCGACGGCCAAAAGGTTCACTGCGAAAAGCTCCAAGATGGTACCATTTGGTTCCACGGCGAACCCGACCCGAATGCACCGTGTCAAGGAGGTCATGAGGCTGGTACCAGATGGATCGATAAAGGCTTTGAACTAGAATGCGCCCCAGGTGGTCGCACCAAAGTGGCTGGATGTATTAGCCCTCAGGGCAATTATATTGCAGTTGGTGCTGAAGAGAGGTACAACCAATATGTGTATGCGTGTGAAGAACAGGTGGACGGAAGTGTTAGGTTTAGATCGAAGCCTATTGTACCTTTCGCTGGGCCTAGAAAGCGGGCTTAGGCTGATTTCAGCTATAAAATGGACAATTGTTAAGCCCAAACGATATATTTAGCGCTATTTTAATCCTAAAAATGGCCAGAAAACCTTTCTATAGCTTAACAATGTCTTAAACTCACACTTTAACTAATTTTTAACAAAAATACGTTTGGTACACTTAATGGTACCATTGGTACAACTGGTACCAAAAATTTTACTTTCATAAAATTAAAACTCTCTAATCCTTTATTTTTAAAATTTTAACTATTATTGTATATTACTACTGTTCCAAAACTCCGGTGACTCATGTTCCATTACCATCTATAATACTGTCAACATCTACTATAATATTAAAACTGACTTACAGCTATCCTTATATTACGTACCTTATCTTTTACGTCTTCTTGCCGAAGATTTATTTGTTACAATAAACTTATTAGGTTTTTTAACTCGAAAAACGACGAAATTTAGATAATAAAGCCAAAATAAGACCAACTTTGTGCCATAACTTAATGGATTTGGTGCTAGTGGTACTGAAACTTTCTCAGAATTGAGTTCATGATACACTGATATGTACTACACTTGATAAGATCGCAGTTTATGCAGATAACCTGAAAATAACAACGGTATGTCATGTTATCCATCATCAGCTTATGGTTATCATGCTTCTACCTAAAATTCAACAAAAAATCTAAAACCTTACCTTTTTTAAAGTTCAACTGATCATATTCAACCCATCGCTTGTCCCTTGGGTCGGCCATACCACGGTAATCGCGTTTAGCAATGATACGAAGCATACAAAACTCATGGTATACCTAAAATAAGGTCATGACCATAAATAATATTGTGAAAAAAAACCATACAAACGTAATTATATTTATAATGATAGAAAAAATATTGACTTACTTTGAAAAAGTGTTTTATAACTCTTGGATTAGTTTGAAGCTCAACTGGCACACCTTGTTCTAGCTCGTCCTTCAGTGCCTTTAATGTTGAATGATACCCAATTTCTGAAACAATAACAATATAAAAATTGTTTTAAACGTTGTAATAAAGTTTTCCTTAACTTTTGACAAAAGGTTCAGCAACAGGAAGCAAGCCAAACCGTCAGATATAACCTAAACTTGTAAAAAACCTTTGTTTTTGGCCAAAAATACGCTGATGTTACGCAGAAAACTGGTTATAACTTTGGTAATTCTATATATTATGATCCCGTTTATGTCTCAAAAGTTTTGGAAGACATTTCAACTTCTTTTCATACCTAAACCAACAAAAACAAACCAAAACAACTTACTGAAAAATTCAAAAACAAATGGATAGATCAGATGTGTGTAGACCTGATACGAAATGATTGAAACAATCAGTGTGGAAATAATCGTCTTCCCATACATTTTAAAAATGTCCACCAGAATAGAAGCCAGAAGCTCTAGATACAATCCTTCATCGTCTTCTTCCTCAACATACGGCAATATTGTTGTAGGTACATCATGAACATAAGAAGTCGTTGAATTGAGAAAAAAAAGATTTTTGGTGTCTGAAGTGAGTGTAGAAGATAAAATAGATGAATTAGAGGGAAATGAAGACATTTTAGGTAATAACACTTCTGATTTTATGCTGTTTAACACCAATTTCGAGAAAAAATTGAAATTTGTAAAATAAATTTTAAAAAATCAAGAAAATAAAAAAACTTACAAATATTGATTACGACATCCGAAAAACTGACTTTTATTCATTAACAGTCATAAAAATAAAATTGTTAAAAATTAGATGTTTTACCAATTTTTATTCTAACAGGTATAAGTTGTTAGCGCAGGCTGCGAAGGCTGAAATGTAAGTCGCGCCCAAGCTTTTGAAAAAAATAATTTTTATGAAATTAATGTCCTGGAGCCATAACCAATTGATTATTAACAAAAATTACAACTTTATTTCAAAAATACGTGTGATTCAAGTAAAAAATCTTATTATAAGCAAACACCAATGTTAATATTGTACTAAATGACAATAATAAATGAATTAATCGTAGTTTCGGCTGTCACGAATGACTTCAGGCCGCATCATGGCTCCACCGCCGGGCGTCTTATCACAATAAATTCGGAATTTACCGACCTTCATACTCGAACCAACACGAATCTTGCGTTTCGACTGTTTTTCCACACAAGCCAGGATTTGCGTCTCCCAGCCGTAGGCATTGACCACGCATCGCCTTACGAACCCACTTTGAGCGGTCCAGGTCTCACCGTTCCGGTAGGTTTCGCCGTTCTCCTCGCAGCTTGGTTCATCGTCTTTGTAGGCGGAGGAGAATGGGATTAGGAGGACCAGAAGGGTGATTAAGACTAACTTCATTTTCTGAAACTGATAAAAATTTTCTGATTTTAAAGAAGTTTAAAAAATTTAAATTTGCGCAAAGATGTCACTGGTAGTACCAAAAATGAATCAACCAAAATTTTAAAAAAGTCAAATTGTTAAAAATCACTAAATCTTCAAAAATTAAAAAAATAAGATTTTTCGGAAAAAAGAGTACCATTAGTACCAAAAAGTGTACCAACTGTAATTTTAATAAATTTTAATTTTTTAACTTGCCTAAAACTTCAAACTATCAAAAAATAAAAATTTTTGAAAAAATGGTACCAATAGTACCAAAAACGGTACCAAAAAAAATTTTTTCAAAATTTTTAAAGCGCCAAAATATATGTGATTGAATAACTTAAAATACTCAAATTAGCATTTTTTTTCTAGCCAAAACACTAAAATATCAACCAATATTCACCTTTGACGGCCCAAATCGACCAAACTAAAGAACTCTCGGCCAAACTGGTCTACCGTCCCCCTATAAATATGGAAAAGGTCGGATTCGAAACAAAAGCAATCATTTCGAGAGTCCATAAACTCTTGAATTAATATTCGATTAGCCTTTTATAACCAAAAATTATTAACGACATTAGTTTATATTATCCTTAATGGCTTCGGAATATTAATCATTGTCTTGATTGTTACATAGCTTGGTATAAAATGGTTTAGATTGGGGTTTTAAGTATGAATAGATCTTTTTTTGGATTTAAAGTCATTTTATGATATTTTTTCGAGTTTTAAGGCCTACAGTAGTATGTTACAGTATCTAAAATTACATTTTTTTCAAAATTTAAAAAAATTTTCAAAATTTCAAAACTTTTTTTTTCAAAAACTCAAAATGTAGTTTAGAATTAGCTTTATTTTAACCATACCACACATTAAATTAAAAAAAAACAAATATCTAACAGCAATTAAATGATTAATATATTACCCATGAATGTATTGATATCTGTGTACCATAAAAGTGTTATAACCCGTTGATATAAACATATTGTAGACTCTAGTATATAAAATAATACTTATAAATGCCTATATTACTATAAAATATTGCTTTGGATCCTGTAAAACTATAAAAATCTCAAAAAATTTAAAAAACATTGCTTTAGGCTATATTATGTCAGATAAATCTCAAAAACCTGCTCTTGCTAAGCCTCCATAGAACACCTAGACTAGCCCACTAACTCAACAAGACCCCTAGACTACTCCAATAGTTCAAGGCAGCTCCTTAGCATACTTGGAGTTCCAATCTCTATCAAAAACGGCATTAAACTGCTGAACCAAGGTGTCAGATCGGTCCTTTTTGATGATTAATCCCACTCCAGCTGTGTTGATAAAGTAATCACCGGCCCAGTTCGATGTGCCTACGTATGCGGTGTTGTCCGTGACCATGTATTTGTTGTGATTTACTCTGGCAAATGGCAGTTGCTTCTGATAGGGCTCGTCTTTTGGGACGGTGAAGAGCTTCTGAAGTTGAAGTTGGTCATAACTTTTGAAATGTTACATTTTTAAGTCTATTTTTACCATAGATTTTATAAAATTAGCTTTTCAAATCTTAATTCATTTAAAAAATTTCAAAAATTCAAAAAAAAAATTTTTAATTTTATTGCACCGTGCAAAAACATTTGTTTTTTGCACTGTGCAATTATAGGCGTATTTTAGGTAACAAAATTTGTAATATATTTTAGTATCTATTCATAAAAAGCTTCTAAGGCAGTATTCATACTAATTGTTCTAAAAAGAATGACACTGTAAACTTTTAAAAAATAACTGCACCGTGCAATCAAAAAATCTCTTGCTCCGTGCCGAAAAATTGAAAATTCTTGCCATTTTCAGCTTTGTAAAGAAAGTTTTTGCAATCTTTAATAAGATAATATATTTATACGACAATTATCAACTTACCACATTGATTTTGCCTTGTTTGCCCTCTCTATGAGGTAGAACCGAGTTTATTTCCCTCAAAGACCTCAAAAATCCTAGCATTTCCGGTCGACTGTGATCCCATTGACTGATCAGTAAATTTACAGTGACCCCACGGTATGCTGCGGCTCTGATGCCATTGTCCAGGTATGGCCAGTAGCTAAAATTTAGATCAAGTTGACTTTTCAAAAAAATCTAAAAAAAATATTTTGGTACCACTGGTACCATTAGCACCATTTTTAGTACCCTTAGTATCATTTTCAACACTATTAGTACCATTTTCAGTATCAGTAATATAAAAGCCTAAAAAATTTTTTTGGTACCACTAGTACCATTAGCACCATTTTCAGTACCAATAGTACCACTAACCTATATTTTTGCTAGTACTAGTACAATATCTTCACAAAAACTCACAAATCATGCCCTCTACCCATGTACAATGTAGTGGGTATGTAATCCATGACAGCTATGTTAACATGCTCTTCAGCTCTCTCCATCACTGATACGATCGCACTCAGATCATGTTCTCGACCTTTTGGATTAAATTCTTCTGGAGAGCTCTGAAATAATTTCATTTCATAGCTAATATAGAGCAAAATTCTATGTTGTTTTAAATCAAAAGGCTCTAAAACAATATTTTAGATCAGGAAAAACACCTATAGTTATATTAAAGTAGATCAAGCACTTAAACTCGTTGATTTTCACCTTGTTCTTATCAATTTTGCCTAAAAATCAAACTAAAAAAGCCAAAAACTCACAGAAATAAACGTTTTCTGCCACTTTCCATTCATGTTGATCTCCAGCGGATGTTCATGGTTAAAGTGTGTCCTCAAGTTCAAAGGCCATCGACTAGGTATCTTACTATCGGCTTCAGCAATCCTCGAGTAGATGGTGAAGATCTTCTGCAAATCCGTCGCTATACAAGAACAATTTCTAATCAAAACACCAAGTTCTTTGACTTCAGTTAATGATTTCCAGTCCATATTAGCTGATCCAATGTAAACATGCTCGTCATCTACGATCCAAAACTTTGTGTGAAGCACACCGTGACCAAAAAGTTGTGTGAAATTGATTGATTTCACGTCTGCGAGACCTAACTTTTGTAAATCTTCTGAATCTAGCTGAGGGAACTGAGTAGAAGGAGAATTTTGGACGATTTGAATCTTTACTCCACGTTTTCCTGTGTCTACCAACGCTTGATAAACGTTTTCGCCCTGAAAAATACATTTCTTAGCATCATACATGATCTAGTATCTATAAACCTTCAAAGTCTCACAAAAACTTCCATAAATATATTGCACTTGGTATCTACTCCTTAACCAAGTCGGAAACAAGCCCAATTTACCTAAACACGAACACAAAACAATACAAAACCTTACCTGAATAGCAGTAGGCCATTTCTTAACATCTTCCCTTAAATTCCAATACAATGCAGCTATTTGTACGGTTTTCTGAGCATTTTTCAAAAGTTCGAGGAAAGCAGCATGAGTTGGAGCATGTGTAGGACCTCCTGGATAAGTTAGATTCGTTGGAATTGATTCTACTATGTCGATACTGAAAAGAAAGAACTGTTTACAATATATACAAATTTCAGATCAAAAGGTCTTTGCTTCTTTAAGTTATAAAGCATTTTCGGATATTACACTGAGCACCAGATGTATCACTATCCATAACCATAAACAAATGTTCCTAAATACCAAAACACCATAAAAAAAATAACTTACGAGCAAAAATCAGTACAAATACCAGTTTTCTCAAACTTCTTTGTATTTTCAGCATCATCATTAAACAAAGGCATGAAAAAGGTGATCAACAACAAGATGGCCAATATTGTGATCGGCAAACAAGCTGGCTTAATGATTGAGTTCTTACAACATTCCTCAGACTCTTCCTTTTCCATCGGAAAGTTATTCACTCGTGTATCCAGGAGGTCCATCTCGAAATTTGTCATGTCGGCCCGGCCATCGTGTGTCTAAAACATGGTAATGTTAAAACTGTTCGTACTAAATGGGTTTTGAACCTACCAAGCTGCTTTTAACCCTAAAACTTACTGAGACACTACTTTTACTTTTTATCTAACAATTTACTATAATTTCATATTTAAAACTTTTTTTTATCAAATATTGCTCTTAGTGACCATCATATGCCAATAATATAATTTTCAAACCTTTCCAAGTGAAATTTTAAAATAGTCTTTTAGAATATCAAAGACGCTTTAACTAGCCATACTTTGCCTAGCGTTCAGTCCATAACACGAAAGCATACCTCCACCAAGACGTCCAACATAATATTATTACACTACCCAAATGTCCTCAAAACGGACCTTTTTTCCTAACCATTAAGTAAAAACCTTTTTAACCTAAAGTACGTACTACCTACATCCTTCACACAATCTACAAAGTTTTCAGATCCTGTCCCACACCCAAATTTCTCATGAGAAAGCAAAACAGACCATGAAATAATCGTATTTTGGTCGTCCAACATAATCAGACCAGCTGGGAAACCAGCTTGAAGATGCAGGCATCTGCTTGCGCGGTTTCCCGCCGCCTAACGTGAAAATCCGCATGAGTTAGTGCTTATGAGTGACTGTTTACAAGGTTTGACAGAATTTTGTCCAAAGTTGTTATTGTTTTTGGCAAATTCGGGCTATAATTCGGAAAGCCAATAACATTGTTGGCGTGCGCTTGTTTTCGCTTAAGGACTCCAAAAATAACATTATGTGCAAGATTCCGTGACATTTTTAAATGTTATAGGCCGTTTTTAGTTATTTTAAGCCAATTCCTTTTCGTAAAATCTTCTATAACATATACAGCAAAATTTACAATATAAATTAAGACGTTTTAGGTACTATTTGCGTTAGAAGACCCAAAAATATTGTAGTAGACCTACTAAACTGGCGCCTCGCGAGCGGTCGGTCGATAGTTCCTCAAGTTCTATGGATGGACTAAGTGGTGCTGTTTCCAGATTAGCTTTCCACACCAATATCGGCATTTTAAAAAGTTTGATATTTGTAAAATACGGATAGAATTTGTGTTTTGTAAAAAGATATTGTTTTAGGCAAACGTTAGCCAAGGGTAATATAGCTCATAAATCAGTCCAAAATAGTCAAAACCTGTCGAAATCGGTAGTAAAAGCCCAGAAAAACCAATGGATTTTAACTAAATATGGCAATAGTACTTTGAAGATTGTAGCCGGCTGCAAAACGTCAAGATCTTGTGTTACGTAACATAATCTGGGGGTATTAAACAGCCAGTTTAACAGCCAAATTTGGTAGAATTTGTTCGAATTTTGCCACAAAAATGTGTCAAAATTCACCTGGCCATTAGTAAACATTAGGGGCCATTTGGAAATGGTGTTTTGGGCCGTAGAAGATTGAATGCCTCCGGGTGAAAAGAGAAAATGGAATTTTAGGTAATGAAATGAAAGAAGTCGAAATTTGGGTAACAAAAATTGAGGAATTTGAAATTTAGGTAATAAAAAACGAAAAATACGAAATTTTGAAGGTGTACTAACCGTTTAACCAAAAACTTGAGGTTTTATATTTTTAAAAGTCAAGTTCAAAATTTTAAGTTTTAGGTAACAATTTTTTTTTAAATTTGAAACATATTCTCAAAAATATACGGAAAAACGGTATTTTAGGTAACAAAAGGCGAAAAAATTGAATTTTAAGCTATGAAAAGGGCAATGGTTCAAAAATTTTAAATTTTAGGTAACAAAGTTTTTTTTAAAACGAAAAATTTAAATTTTGAAAAATATACAGAAAAACTGTACCTTAGGTATCAAAGCTGAAAAAACCCAATTTTGAGCCGTGAAAATTGTTAAAACATTTCAAAATTTTAGGTAACAAAATGTTTTTTGAAATTTAAAATTTAAGTTTCAAAAAATATGGGCAAAAACTTCATTTTAGGTAACAAAAGGTGAAAAGATTGAGTGAGTTTCAAGCCATGAAAGGGCAAAAATTTGAAATTTTTAAATTTTAGGTAACAAATTTTAAAAAAATGTACTTTTGTTACCTAAAATAGAGAGATCTCAAAGTAAAATTCAAGCCACCCCCTAAACTCAAAAGTCTCTCAAAACCACCCCCTAAAACTTTAAAAATTCCTTCAGAAACCCGGAAAAGTTTAAAAGTTCGAAATCATTAGTTAAACCGCCTCAGGTCATAAAAAGAGTCCACAAATTGTAGGTGTACTAGAGTAGAAAGCAGTCATTTACAGGCATAATATACTATTACAAACAGCTGTAATTAACCGAGTTTGAGTACAATTGTCGCACAAAGCGGATTGCGTGACCTCGGAAATGCATGGGAGCTTGAAACGGTTAGGCTTATGTTTGGAGTGAACTTTTGGCACGCTAGGCTTAGGAATTGTTTGGAAATGAGACAGTAGGCTTATGAAGTCAAGGTGAAGATGAAATCTTAGGCTTAAGGTTGTTCACATAATTCTGTGCTCCTATCCCGCAAAGTTTCTTTCACAGTTTTCAGAGGGGGCACAGAATTATGTGAACAAATAAATACTCAAAAAGTCTGGTTTGAGAGGGGGCACAGAATTATGTGAAAAACCTAATACTCAAAAGGCTGTTTTAAGAGGGGGTACAGGACTATATGAACAAAAAATACTCAAAAGACCTTAAGAGTAATTTAAAACAAGCTTAAATCCCTTAGGTCTAGCTTTCACTTAAAACCCCTTAGGCCCAGCTTAAGCCCAACTTACTTCTCCGATAGGTATCATCGTATCTCACTTGCAGCTGTTGGATATGTATGTCCTATAGAGAAAAAATGTAAAATATAATAGTAGTACACAAAAGCTTTGCGAACAATAATCGGCTTTTAATTTGCGGCCATGTGACGATGTAAACATATACATGTGTAAACATGTACATGTTCATAGTATGTTCGTATCGGAATTCTTTTAATGGCGGTAAATGATGTTTTAGGTAATAAAATTGGCGAAATGACATTAATTATCACCGTTATCATGTAATTTGTTATCAAAAGGCTATAGAAATGACATTTTACGTATAAAAATCAAAAAAAAATCCCGGTCAAAAAGTTCATAGAAGTCGGCCTTATATCGAAGCTTGGTCCCCCCTGTTGATTTTTCTAAAAACTTTTTGAACAGGATTTAAAAATTTTCAAATTTTTAAATTTAAAAAATGTACACAGCGCAACTCGTATTTTACACTTTTTTAAAAATTTTCGGTCAAAAATTTCATAGAATTCACCCTTATATCGAAGCTTGGTCCCCCCTGTTGATTTTTCTAAAAACTTTTTGACCAAGATTTAAAAATTTTCAAATTTTTAAATTTAAACAGTTGACATCAGTACAACGCGTATTTTACAACTTTAAAAATTTCTGGTCAAAAATTTCATAGAATTCGGTCTTACATCGAAGCTTAGTCCCCCCTGTTAACTCTTCCATAAACTTTTTGACCCAAAATTTAAAAATTTTCAATCTTTTATTACAACAGTATAACTCGTATTTTACATTTTATTAAAAATTAATTTCTGGTCAAAAAGTTCATAGAATTCGGCCTTACATCGAAGCTTGGTCCGCCCTGTTGATTTTTCCAAAAACTTTTTGACCCAACTTTTAAAAGTTTTCAAATTTTTAAATTTAAACTTTTTACAACAGTATAACTCGTATTTTACACTTTTTTAAAAATTTTTGGTCAAAAAGTTCATAGAATTCGGCCTTACATCGAAGCTTGGTCCCCCCTGTTGATTTTTCCAAAAACTTTTTGACCCAAATTTTGAAAAACAAAAAAAAATAAAAAATAATTTAAAGTACATCCTAAAGACTACGAAAACAAATGTCACTAGTTTCAAACACAGATTTAAACAATTTTTCGTACTATTACAACTCTAAATGCCCCGAAGCGTTTTCAATGGAATTAATCGAAAACGCCGCCAAATATTTTAATTAAATTTGTTTCGATTAATGTTTTATGGCCAAAAACTTTACAATTCATGAAAAATAAGTGGCGGAAATCACGTTTTATTAAAAATAATTTTAAATTAAAAAAAAATTTTAAATTCGCAAAAACTTTCTATACAGCAAAAAACAACAAAAAAAAATATTTTTTCGAGCATCACGAGCCTTAGACTAGCCTAAAAATGCATTTTTCATAATTGTTTATCAAAATTTTTAAAAAATTCTAAACACCGCAAGAACTTTCTTTACAGTAAAAAATGGCAAAAAATATTTTTTTCGAGCATTACGAGCCTTAGGCTAGCCTAAAAATGCATTTTTCATAATTTTTTATCAAAATTTAAAAAAAATTCTAAAAAACGCAAGAATTTTCTTTACAATAAAAAATGGCAAAAAAATATTTTTTTCTAGCATTACGAGTCTTAGACTAGCCTAAAAATGCATTTTTCATAATTTTTAAAGCAAATTTAATGAAAAATTTTAAAAACCGCAAGAACTTTCTTTACAGCACAAAATTTTTTCAAAATTAATTTTTTAGTTAAAATTAAGCCTCATGTAACCCAAAAATGCCATTTTTTAAAAAGTTCAAAACCATTTTGGCATTTATTACTTAAAACCGCAAGAATTTTCTTTACAGCCAAAACGTTTTTCAAAAAATTAAAAAAAAACAGGTGTCTATGTTTATAAAAACCAATATTCCCCGCCCGAATCGACCAAAACCAAATTGCCATGCCCAAGCGTAACATAATAATAGCCATGCCCAAGTAAAACATAATAATTGCTATGCCCGAGTGTAACATAATAATTGCCATGCCCGAGTGTAACATAATAATTGCCATGCCCGAGTGTAACATAATAATAAAGGCGTTCTAATTCAATGTCTGGCCAAGTAATTTGAATACAAAAAGAGGAAAGAGTGAGGCCATTTTTGGCTTTCGGCTTCACTTCATTTGCCGCAAAAAAGAGGCCGCCATGGTTAATATCCCCAAGCATTTTAATTCGAGAAACCCGGCCGGAGCGGGGGGTTAGCGAGTGTAAGTGTAGAAATTGATGTCAGTTTAGGTCTTCTTTCCAATTTAGAAGTTTGCCTTTCGACTGGACGAAAAAAGTTTGCTTCCGACTGGTCGAAAAGTTTTAACTATTAGGTGCCGACATAAAAAACCCGCCATTTTTTACAGGAAAGTACAGGCAAACTATGGCGGGTTCGTTATATCGGCACCTAATATTACCTAACCAGAAGGGGCCTATTTTACATTTTTAGGCTTACAATTTAATTAGGCTTAACTTTCTCTTTAGTGTCATAGGCTTAACCTTTAGAAATATGGACGTAGGCTTACAAAGCTTAATTTATTTAGGCTTAAACTTAGGCTTAATAGAAGTAAGCTTGAGATTAATAGGCTTAGGCTTAAAAAGTAAGCTTAGGCTTAGTTGACTTAGTAAGCTTAGGCATAGATTTAGGCTTATTAAGCTTAGACTTGAAAAGCATTAGCAGGCTTTGGCTTACTAGGCTTAAGCTTTAGCTTATGGTTTAGGCTTCAAAACCTTAGGCTTGGCACTTTCAGGCTTAGTACGCATATTCTTAATAGGCTTAGGAGGCCTAGGCTTAGTAAGCTTAGGTTTAGTAGGCTTAGGTTTAGTA